CCGCACAGCGGGGAGATGGTGGGCTGGGCTCTGGGTCCAGAGTGGATCTGGCGAGATCATCCTCAGGAGTGATGGTGAGAGGCGATCCGTTTCTCACCAGAATCCACTCCACAAACACTGTGAAATCCACATGATCCTGACATTCACACTGTCATGAGAAAAACAGATCTGAGTCACATGTGAGCAAAAAAAATCAGATTTGGGCCACATTTGCCTGCAGTGTGAATGTAGCCTTTTGGTGCTAAATCCGAGTCAGGTCAGATGTGCAATGCAACCTCAGTCTGAATGGTCAAATCGGATTTAATGCGACTTTTATGCCACTATAGATCGACATTTGTCATAATTCTGCTCTGACAGGATTCACTCTAAAGATTTTACATACCGGTAGTTCTTTGTTCACTCTGTGAGTATGACACACAGTTGTGGAGAGACAGTGAGGTGTTTTTTTACTGTGTATTAGAGAGACAGCTCAATACAAGCTAAACTTAAGGGGTCGTACTATAAATATTAAAAATCTTTGCTCTATTTCCCCTCATTTTCATCCTTTTTATCACCTGCTCACAAATTTGCTTGCTTCCGTGACATATCAGTTATAAATAAACGCTAAAAAGCTTAATTCAGTGGCCTCAGTGTTTATGTTTACTTCCGTATGACAGTGCGCTTCATGCTGTCTTGTTATCGTTTTGCACATGCGGGTCAGTTCCGGACCGTCATTCATTCACACTGGAATCTGATATTGGCCACAATGGGGTAGGGTTAAGGGATGTAGAATATGGTCATTCAGAATAAGGCATTAATATGTGCTTTATAAGTACTGATAAACAGCCAATATGCTAGTAATATGCATGCTAATAAGCAACTAGTTAATAGTGAGAATTGGTCCCTTGCGCTGCCAAGCAAGTTTACTAAAGCAGAAAATCCATGCACATACAGCTGAATATGTGATATCCATATTAAAATATATTGGTTTAGAAATCATGCACTATGGTAAAGGTATTTTAAGGTGATAGCAAAGTATTGTGCAAAGAAGTGGAATGAAAATAAGTCCTTGTTAATTGATTTTCTGGTAATCATAATTTGTGTGAAAAGGAATACATTTTTTTGGTGTTTTACTGCCTCCAGTGTTCAAAATTCAACTGGAAACTGCACTGCGTTCAACATATAGTTACGTATTTGAAGTTTTGTACATGATTTGCGATGAACCTGTGTTGGTATTACATGGCTTTTAGCTCTTTACTGAAGATTTTTTGAAATCCCTATTAAGAAATGAATAAGAACCAACGATGGTGAAAAAATGGACGGCAACTGTTATGCTCTTGCTCAGTATTAAATTTCACTTCACTCAGTTTTTGTTTTTTTTCCTTTCCACAATTGCTTCAAAGTTTCACATAGTCGAAGCCTTCAAAGCATTTACCATATCTCTCCTTCTCTATCACACATTGCTTAAAACAGTGTTTCCCATCCCTGTTCCTGGAGGCACATGAACACTGAATTAAATTAAAGCTCTGTGATCCATTTGCTGTTTATCTGTCTTTTTCTTACATGGCTCCCTGTTTTATACCAAATCAGGTTCCTTCGTGTCCACATGGGTGAAGTACTACTGCATCTATCACCGAGAGCCCAAACGCATGACCATGATGCTGTTTGATCAGAAATCTGGGGCCAAAAATGTAAGTAGTTATTTTTTCTCTTTCTCGGTCACATACAATCCCTCTCGTGCCCTTTCACTCAACAGTATGTGTAACCTTTGGATTGGAGAGTGGATGCTGGCACAGGCCACAAGTTTGTTCCCCATGCTGACAAGACTCTGATCTTGGCACGAGAAGCTGCGTATCGCATCGTTAAGCTGGCACCAGTATCGGCACCTGGCTCTGTGCCCGTCTCACTCTCCACTGCCACACACGCAGGGTCAATAGCACGACTCTCGCACCAGGGACTGCATGCGGCCTGATTACATTCCGACCACACACTACCACCCCTCTGGTAAACACACAAACCTGCCAATCGCAAGAGAAAAGCAAACAGAAACCGTGTTTTATTGTGATTATAAATTGAATGCAGAGTTATATTGTTTCGTGGTTTGCATGGTTTATGTTATTGCTGACATATTTACAAGGAAATGCACAATCTGTTGAAACAAAAGGCTTTTAATTTAATGTAGGTAAATTTCCGACTTAAACAATTTCTTTTGATTCTTGAGTTGGAATTTGAACCGTTACACAGCAAAATGCAAAACTGGGACGCTTCATTCAGTGACGCGCTTCACTCGGCATTCGCTAAAACCAGCAGTGCATACTTACTTGCTGGCAACCCGCCAAAATAAAAGCTTGCTGATTTTAGGTTTGAAAATGTTGAAAATTCATATAATAAATAAAAAAGGAAAAAAGAAGGAAAAAAATGTAAATGTAAATATTAGCATTGTATTTTTTAAGTGTACTATAAAATAATTTTATTTTTTATTTAATACTCACTTTTAATAAAAAAATATAATAGTATTATCACACTTTATTTATTACTTTGTTTATTTTATTTTTAAAAATTAACTAAATAAAGTGCAATAATACTATTATTCATTATTTTAGTTTTTTTAATAGTTATATTTAATGGGTAACACTATTGCAGTGTGAGCACCAAACCAAATCTCCAGGTGTTTTCATGAGAACCAGACTGAACACACACTATGTACACACACACACACACATATTGTCCCAGCTTAATAAAGATTAACAATAAACATTCTATACATCATAAAAGTTTTCAAATTTTTCATTTATTATTCTGGGGTTTTTTTCAACCCAATATTTATGTATTGCATCTTTGACATGCCAGTTACAGCAGTCATTTCAGCTCATCCTTCAGATGGTTAAAATGAACATGTTTACAGTAAATAGACTTATACTGGAGGCTTAGCAGGCGAATGGACCAGAGGGATTACAAGCAGGAATTACAAACTCATATTTTTAAGCACACGGTGGAAACTAATTGTCAGATAACAAATTGACTGCCTGTCCACTAATCTTCAACATATTTTCATGAGCGAGCTATATAAACTGATCAGCCACAACATTAAAACCACTGACAGGTGAAGTGAATAACATTGGGTCACACTTTAGCTTGGGGACCAATTCTCAAAAATTAGTAAGGTAGTTGTTACCTACCAAAAGTGGTGCAAAAAAGGACAACCGATGAACTGGCATCAGGATCTGTGCCCCCAAGGCTCATTGATGCACATGGGGAGCGAAGACTAGCCCATATGGTCCGATCAAACAGAAGAGCAAATTGCTGAAAAACTTCATAGAAAGATGTCCGAACACACAGCGCATCACAGTTTGCTGTGTATGGGATTGCATAGCCGCAGAGGACACTTACGCCCCCTGTCCACTGCTGAAAGCACCTACAATGGGCACGTGAGCATTAGAACTAGACCATGGAGCCTGGTCTGATGAATCACATTTTCTTTTAGATGAGGTGGATGGCCGGGTGCGTGTGCATGGTTTAACTTGGGAAGAGATAGCGGCAGGATGCACATGTGAAGTGCCTGGTTTAAATGTGAATACCTGAATGCTTTTAGAACTGAAAACATGACTTTGTTCCAAATGGTACACTTACTGTGTACATGCAGTCTTGCAGATTTAGTGTAGACTAGACCACAGAGTCCCTTTGGTCAGTTTTAGTTTCATGTGCGTACTCCCAGGCACCCTTGTTTCACATTTCCAGACATTGCATTCTGTAAGCGTACACAGTTTGTTTAGTACCTAGTCCTTGCGCTAGCATAATGCTGTCACCTTTTCTGGAATGTGAAGAGAGTGAAAAAAAAACTAGAGAGAAGTCACTCCGCAGGGTGATGTGATAGAAACAATTAGACTGTAAGTGAAGAGGACACTGCAGGAGAGAACGACAACGCTCTGGTAATGAACTCCAGAGGCATGCGTGTAATGTGTTGCTAGTCGGCAAAGGAGTTTTGAAGTGTTGGAATAAAAATAGCTGACCGCATTTGAACACCCATTCCTTGGCCACACTTTGCAAGAAGATAGGGAGTGACTTGACACTTTATTATATCATTTATGTGATGACAGTGTAGCTGGTAAATATAGAACATCTAGTCACATTTGACACATCGGCCGTCCAGGCTCACATAAAAATAAGTGAAATAAGTGAAACACTGAAAATGTGGTGGCAAAATGTGGGCTTTTAGTAAACCATGTTTTTCTTTTCAGGGAGATGAGGAAAGCTTTACGCTCAAATCTTGCACCAGAAGGAAAACAGACTCCATTGAGAAAAGGTTCTGTTTTGACATTGAAGCCGTGGACCGGTGAGTTGACTGTGTGCATACCTGCCACCTGATGGCGCTTTGGTCCTCGTAACATTCAGCGGGAGACACACTTCCTGGCTGCTGCTCAGGAAAGGAGGTGGAGATTTGAACTAGGACTGCCAGGCATGAAGAGAGTGCAGTGTAGATACTAGCTTCGACCTGTTAAAACTGTTGCAGTAACTAGGAGGGGAGAGATAAAGTGGCCATCTTATGGGTTTTAGGCGGAGGAAGGGAGCTGATTACTTTACACTTAACCTTTAGGCCAAAAGATGCTCTAAGCCCTGATGACACAGTGTTGTAATGCTGGGTTTACATCACGCTTTGCACATTGCAGCAAAAGAAAAAAAAAAAAATCTTAGTCTTGATTCCCAGCAAAAGTGTGTCACATAATAAGATTTATCTCCAGAGAATATATCTTAAATTAATATTGTTTCTTTCCCCACTACGATTCGAATTTTAAGCATAAAACTTACTAAATTCTGTTAAATTTGCATTTTTAAAACAAGTAGGGTAAGAGAAATTATAATCCAGGATATATATACATTGTTGGTCAAAAGTTTACCAAAACTGTGTTTATTCAAAAGTGATAGTTAAGACATTTATATTACAAAAGGTTTCTATTTCAAATAAATGCTGTTCTTTTGAACTGTCTTTTAATCAAAGAATTAAAAAAAAAAATGTATCACAGTTTAAAAAAACATTTTTTTTTTAAGATTTATATTAATAAGAACCAATATTCATAACTGAGCTCAAATAATGATTGATGATAAGCACCAAATCAGCTTATTGGAATGATTTCTGAAGGATCATGTGTCACTGAAGTCTGATGTAATGGCTGCTGAAAATTCAGCTTTGCGTCACAGGAATAAATGACATTTTAAAACATATTAAAACAGAACCTTTATTTAAAAAAGTTATTTTAAATTGCAATAATATTTAAAAAAATATTGCTGTTTACTGTATTTTTGATCAAACAAATGCAGCAAAAACATTCAAATGTCCTAATAATTCAACACTTTTGACCAGTGGAGTATAATTTCAGAACGTTTTAATTTATGTAGTTTTAGTTCTCTCTCTCTCTCTCTCTCTCTCTCTCTCTCTATATATATATATATATATATATATATTTATGTTTTAATTTGACTGAAAACAAGAAAAATCAGACTTTTATACACCTAATGCAAAGCAAATGTGCATGTGGTTTGAAATCCTTTTAAAAATTCTTCTTAATAAAAATTTAGCTGGATTTTCAGAAAATATGTCTCAGTATAAAGAGTCACATTCAGATTCAGGTGTTCTAAGTGGATATGTCAAAACATTATATAATGTGCAGTACACTGAACATCATATCTCTCTCTATATATATATATATATATATATATATATATATTTATGTTTTAATTTGACTGAAAACAAGAAAAATCAGACTTTTATACACCTAATGCAAAGCAAATGTGCATGTGGTTTGAAATCCTTTTAAAAATTCTTCTTAATAAAAATTTAGCTGGATTTTCAGAAAATATGTCTCAGTATAAAGAGTCACATTCAGATTCAGGTGTTCTAAGTGGATGTCAAAACATTATATAATGTGCAGTACACTGAACATCATATATATATATATATATATAGGGTTTTTACTTGTTTTCAGGTGAAAACATTTATTCAAATATTTTTAAAAAGAAAATAATCACGTTTAGACAAAATAGTAATTAAGAATAGGGTAATGCTATGTAGTGTCTATAGCTGTGAGTGAATTCACTCATTTTACTTTGGCCATTTAGTGAGGGACATTTTCAGACACTGCATGCACATGAATGTGTATAACACATCAATGCCTTCGTGGCTTATGTTGCCTTATGATTCAGTGTCGATGTGTCATGATGAAGTTGGAAAAATATCTAGTTAACTATTCACAAATGTATTTTACACAAAACACGTTGCAATTTTGCAATAGCCTCCTGCTTTTGCCCTCCACAGCAGCAGTGTACTACCACATCGTAAGTCTATCAGGCTTTCCTGTGCACAAACTCAATTAAACAGGCACCGTTTTATTACCATAACTCTTCCTGCCCTGGCATGGCCTAACCTTCAGTTGTCACACAAGTTAATGGTGTGTGAGTGTGTGTACTACTGATTTACTGATAGAGCTGCCATACTGAAATATTAAAAGGTTTACCAACACACAGCATATACTGGCTCTTACATTGTTATATGCTAAATGTTATATACCTATCAATAGGACTGAATTGTCTGTACTGTCATTTTGCAAGTCATGAAATACTATCCATTTGTTCAAATAACATCTTCATTATCTGGTATATCTACGTTTGTTAGCATGGTAATGACTTATGTGTGTTTCTTTAACTATGAATGCTTTTGCAATTGTGAAACAGAAGTACAATACACTTTAGCATACTTTTAAAAAGGGTATTCATTATGGAAATACTGTAGTTTAAAATAATACATTGTTTCCAAACACTTAATTGCATGTTATTTAGTTGAAAGAGTTCATCAGTTGAACTTAATTGCTTTTAAGTTAAACCCAGTTGAAATTATAATCAAGTACTTTAGATGTGCTTTAATGTTCAACACATCAAAACAAGTGTACTTCTTTAAAACATGACAAAATATTATTAAAACATAATCATTTAAATTGTTCTTTAAATTACAACTTTTACATTGACATTATTACTTTTAGAAATGAACTCTTTAAGTGCATTTTAAGTCCAAGTGGCACTTTATTAGTATTAGTATCATTAGTATTATATTATTTGCAAGTACAGTTTTTTAACAATACTTTTGAGATTTAAAGTCCACTACAAGTGACAATTTAATACAATTAAGGGTGTCTTTGTAGATTTTACAAAAATAAATTGTCCTAGAACACAAATGCTCTACTAAGAGTGTCCAACTGTAAATATATACATGCATAACAGGAGAATTGTGTGTGTGTGTGTGTGTGTGTGCATGTTGACTGTACCGCTGTGTATGCTTGCACCTGGACGTGTGTGCGTGTTTCAGGCCTGGCATGATCACCATGCAGGCGCAGTCAGAGGAAGACCGCAGACTCTGGATGGAAGCCATGGACGGAAGAGAACCGGTACTTTGTCTGAGAGATCGGAAATTTGTTTCGCTCTCAGATCTGATATCGTTCACTATAAGAGATTTTTACATGCTTGGCACTGCTGTGCATCAGATAAACTGTATTCTCATTTTGAATGCATATTCATGAGGCTTATTGCGTCTCATAAATATGCATGTTAAGGCCTTTAGCCTGTGTTGTTTTTGAATATGAATTCAGATATAGTGGTTTAGTTGAGTGTTGGCTTCATAATTGAATTTGTAATGTATTGTAGGAGGATTTAGGCTCTGTTCTATAATCTAGTGAGCTGCCTCGCTAGTATACTACCTACATAGACCGTTACCTTTAAGGGCAGCATGCTAATTGAATGGGACCTCATCAGCTACTGATGAAGACAACAATTCAAATAGTGCTTATCACAAAAACATGCAGGACGCTCAACAAACTGATTTCAATAGAGTTTGCTGTTAGAATGCTGCTAAGCTAACAGCGCGAGGCTGTTCTCGGCATGAAAATTCATAGAGCACACAAATATGTTGTTAAAGCGTTAGTTCACCCAAAAATGAAAATTAGCCCATAAATTACTCACCCTCAAGTCATCCTAGGTGTATATGACTTTCTTCTTTCAGACGAATCATATTAAAAATTGTCTTTGATCTTTCACTCAGCGGGTGTTGCATGCATCAGTCCAAAAGCACTTAATTAAACTGCGCCCATCCATAAAAATAAGTGTCTCACACGGCTCCGGGGGGTGAACAAAGGCCTTCTGTAGCGAATCAATGCGTTTTTGTAAGAAAAATATCCATATTCAAAACGTAATAATCACTTTAATGTAGCTTGCGCTCACTGTTGTACACTGGAAGCAGCTCCGGGTGGATGACGTATGAGGTCAGCGTTGCGCACGTGCCAGTGAGTCTCGTGAAAACCAACATATGTTAACAGGAGCAAAGGAAGCAAAGTTTAATTTTCATTTTTGGGTGAACTAACCCTTTAAATAGTTAACTTTTTTATTTATTTGAATATTTCTTATCAATATTATTTGGTTTTGATTAAATAACTAGTTCAGTCGTGTAACTTTAAATGGTGCAGTTCTTCTGAAATCCTCCACCTCCCCCAGCTCCACCTGTCTAGATCTGCTACCAGATTTATGTATGTCTATTCATGCAGCAGCAGCAAATCTTACATGCACACAGCAGTGTGCTTAAACTATTCTGAGGGTTGTCATGATTATAGACAGATATAGATAGATAGATATCAATAAAAATGCTGCCTATGTAGGCAGCTCACTAGGTTTTGGAACAGAACCATGATGTCTTAGCATGCTAAATGGCTCCTTCAGTGTGATGAAGCCTGTTTTCGAAAGCTTTTAGCGAACAGATTATGCATGTAAAATAGTACAAATGAGGCAGTGGTATTGCATGCTGTGATGGCTTCTCATCTGGTATCACTAAATTGTACTTGTTATGCAGATATTTTTTCTTCCAAAGCTGCTCTGTATTAACAGCCACAAACTTGACCAAAATGTCTTGTCTCACAGGTATACACCCTGAATCGTGACAGCCAGAATGAAGCTAGTAAGTATGGTGCTATTTCAGTCTTCATTTGAATCTCAGAATAATACATGCTTATCGTGCTGGTTTCATGAACACTTTTTGTTTTATATTACTGTTTTACCACGGAGGTGTATTGATGTTTTTGTTTTCCTCTCCCAATGAACTTTCTATTTAAGTGGCACAATTAGATGTCCTCGGCTTCAACATTGTCAAAAAATTCATCTATGCCATAGAAACCAGAGGTACGCCTCATGTTGTTTGTTAGAAATAAAGGAAATTACAGGCCTCTCTCATCTTTTTAAGTGGGAGAACTTGCACAATTGGTGGCTGACTAAATACTTTTTTTCCCCACTGTATTTGTGTATAAAGCTTCACTTAGCAAGGAACCATTATTATCAGCTGCCTAAGTATAAACGCAACCCTCTTCACATGCAAAAAGTGACAGCAATGCCGTCACACCATTTTCCTGGAGCATTTCAGTCCTTGGTAGTGCAACTGAAGCAAACAGTCAACTATGGGTGGCAACTGTCAAAAGATCTCCAGGATAAAGTTGTGGCACAAGGAGATACAAAAAAAAAAATTCAAAGGCTTTATCAATGCCTAGAAGCACAGTGAAGTCTATTGGTCATTTACTATCTATTGTCGATTGGTTTATTGGTCAGTGATGTGGAAGGTATTTGGTACAACACAGACCCTCCCTGGATCAGGACGTCGCTCCAAACTGCTTGAAAGAGCCGGGAGAAACTGGTCCGAGAGGTAACCAAGAGGCAGACAGCAACTCTGAAGCAGCTGCAGGAATTTATGACAAAGAGTGTTCATTGTGTGCATGTGACAACAATATCACAGTTGCCAGCATACATACTGTGGGTATAGAAAATAATCACCCCCTTTAAAATAATCACATTTTGCTGCTTTGCAGCCAGAAATGAAAATGGACACAGTTTGTGTTTTATCCAGCTATATTTACTCAGTGCAACTTATAACATTCAAGTGATGGATATAACACCAACATGTCAAAAAAAAAAATACAAAAACGGAATCACGGAGTTGGAAAAAGAATCACTTTCCTGGAGCATTTCAGTCCTTGGTAGTGCAACTGAAGCAAACAGTCAACTATGGGTGGCAACTGTCAAAAGATCTCCAGGATAAAGTTGTGGCACAAGGAGATACAAAAAAAAAAATTCAAAGGCTTTATCAATGCCTAGAAGCACAGTGAAGTCTATTGGTCATTTACTATCTATTGTCGATTGGTTTATTGGTCAGTGATGTGGAAGGTATTTGGTACAACACAGACCCTCCCTGGATCAGGACGTCGCTCCAAACTGCTTGAAAGAGCCGGGAGAAACTGGTCCGAGAGGTAACCAAGAGGCAGACAGCAACTCTGAAGCAGCTGCAGGAATTTATGACAAAGAGTGTTCATTGTGTGCATGTGACAACAATATCACAAATTCTCCACAAATGTGGCTTGTATGGGAGGGTTGCAAGAAAAGAAGCCACTCCTCGAGAAAGGCCACATGCAGTCACGACTGAGCTTTGCCAAAACACACCTTGAAGATTCTGATGCAGATGAGGCTAAAATTTTATTTGGCCTCAAAACCAAACGATATGTCTGGTGGAAATCCAATCCATCTCACCATCCAGATAACAGCATTCCTCCAGTAAAGCATCGGTAATACCCCGTTTAGCGGGGTGAATGAAACCACAGACACAGAACTGCGGGAAGTCCCCCAGGAGGGTGCTTTATTCACACGTGGTGCTCGTCGTGCGCAGGTGAGGTGTCTGGGCAGCGGGGTCACACGGTGCTCGGGGGGGTAGTGCGTCACTCGGTGCTCGTGGAGGGCTGCTGATCACTCGTCCGGAGGGTCGCTGGTCTCTACACAGGAGGAGAAGAAACAAAACAGACATTAGTTTCCGCCTGGAGCTCCTCTTCCACCTCCCTCCTGTGTGCCTCCTCTCCTGGCTTTAAGGCCTGCGGGAATGAGCTCCAGCTGCGCCAATCATCCCGCACAGGTGGCGGTAGTTTGTGATTGGGGTGGGAGCGGCGTTTCCAGGGCGACGCTGATTTGGAACCGGGATACTCGCCACACCTGGTATAGGGTGTTTCTCTGCAGCAGGGACTGGAGCACTTGTCAGGATAGAAGGAAAAATGAATGGGGAAAAATACCGTCAAATTCTTGAGGAAAATCTGCTGTTCTCTGCCAGAAAGTTGTCAATGGGAAGAATGTTTATCTTCCAACATGACAATGACCCAACGCACACAGCAGAACTGAGCACACAGTGATTGAAGGAGGAAAAGATGAATGTCCTTGCATTGCCTAGTCAGAGCCCAGACTTAAACCCCACTGAAAATCTGTGGAATGACTTGAAGACTGCAGTCCACAAACGCTCACCATCGAATTGAACTGAACTTGAGCAGTTCTGCAAAGAAGAGTGGGCAAATGTTGCAAAGTCTAGATGTGCAAAGTTAGTTGAGACATATTCCAACAGAATAAACACTGTAATTTAAAAATAAAAATGTTATTTGTTTCTGATATGTTGGTGTTATATCTTTCACTTGGATGTTATAAGTTGCACTGAGTAAATACAGCTGTATAAAACCAAAAACTGTGTCCGTCTTCATTTCATGCCGCAAAGCATTAAAATGTGATTGTTTTAAAGGGGGCTGATTCTTTTCTATACCCACTGTATACATTGTTTACTTGCACGTACTGGCAGTGTGCTGTGTTGGTAATTCCAAAGGTTGAACAAAGGTCACTGGTAAATTAAATCTGTCGTCTAACCATGGGGTCTATAATCCTCCTCTAGACCCCAAAACTTGTGCAGATGTGGAGCTGAACAGCACAGAATGGGAGATCAAGACCATCACCAGTGCAATAAAGCACTACCTCAGGTACCAACCCACCCCTTCACATATGACCACATGACAACAATCAGGCTATACTACACAAAATATGTTTTACCTGTCTTGATTTGACTGGCTCCCACAGTCTCAAAAGTTACCTTGACCGCTAAGGTATCAGCACTACAATTGCTTATACTCAGGGCTATTAACCTAAGTATACATAGAAACCATGTAAAACAATAATAACAATAACAATAATAAACTCAGTATACTTGCATAGTGAACAGTTGGGTCCCTTCGAACAAATGAGTCAACAAGCTAGCAGTGTGCTAAGCTAGTAGGCCTATGCTGAGTATTTAAAGAATGAGAAATATTTAATGGCATAATCTTTAACTTTATTTATAGCGCTGTTGAATGCTTGAATCTGATTGGCTGACAAACATTCTAAAAGGTGTGCAATTATTTTAAGCGAAACACGGCTAAAGTAGTACCAGGCAGGTCTTGCCCGCACTGCATGTCCAGATCACTTCACCAAATAATTTCAGTTATTTCAAAGGTCCTTACAGCCTACAACAGCCAAAGAACCAAAACCCACAACAACACTGACCAAGCAAATAAATATAGTAAACAACAGGATAAAAACTGCAAATTATTTCCATGTTTTTGCCACAAAACTACATTTTATTATGTATGGAAAACATACTCTGTTTCTATTTTGTTCTGTCCCTTACAAAAGCGCACACATACAGTACGAACACACACGGAGACATGCACACGCACAGAAACATGTTCTCGGCGCTGCTCTGATGATTTTATCATTAAAATAGTTGAGCAACTTAAAAGTTCTTGAAGATAATGAACTTGCAGTTTCGCTATTAGTAGAAATGCAACTGCCGAACACTGTTTAGAGATGCACAGGCAATTCACACACGCTTAATCTCTCTCTTTCTCTCTCTCTCTCTCTCTCTCTCTCTCTCTCTCTCACACTCTCTTTCTAATAACTTCATTATTAACTGAAATAGTCTGCTATCAGAATCAGTATTAGCTTTATTCGCCAAGTGTGTGCAAACACAAGGAATTTGTGTTTTTTTAGGAGCTCTTGGTACATACATATATACATACATACATATATGACATGAGAACAGAAAGAACAATTAAATAAGTAAGACTAAAGAAAAAAAACAATAAATAAATAATAAAAATAGTAATAATAATGTGGTAAAATCTGGAACAGAAGATTTATGTACAGATTTGTGCATTATTTACTGTACAGTTTTATAAATAAAAATATGCATATGTATTTACATAATACTTGAATATCAATGGAACAAGACTCCGTTACTAGGTCTAAAATTAAGTTTTGGAATTAGCAACGGAGGTGTTGGATGAGATGCGTAAGAAATTAATCCTACACACGAGTGTTTTAAGGACAAAAGCCTGATGAATGTCTTTTTAATACAACATCTGAAAAATATTTAAGATCTGGGAACCATAGTATAAGCGGAATAATTGCATATGGTCCAGAGTATGTGAGCGGAGTGCAGCGGCAACAATTCCCTTTCTAAGGAACTTGTGCAGCATGACCGGTGTCTGAAGCATGTGTAAAAAAACAGCAGTCCTATTGGTCCATGTGGCCCGTGACGTCATAGGCAGGTGCCCGGAAGTATAAAAGGGCACCTGCTGAATACATCACCAACTTTTGCTGTCTTCAGGAGCCGTATGTTTGCAAACAGTGTGTACTACTGTATGTCTGTGAAGCCGGGCGAGCATTTCAAGAAGTGCGTGTCTCCATGTCAGAGGTTTTTGACACCCGAGGACACGGACGACTTGAGCGTTATGTGTCTAGGTGAGGAGCACGCTCCAATCACGTTTGTCTCTCTTCTCGAGGGAGGAGAGGCAAGCATCTGCGCCTCGCAGGTCAAGTCCCCCTTATTGTCGAGGCACTGTGGAAGCTGGGGATCGCAGGTCAAGCTGAGTCATCCTCTTTGAAGATTCCTGCCTTGCCATCCATAGTGCTTCAGACCACCTCGCGCTTGAATGGCAGGGCGTATGTGGCAGCGGGTCAGGCTGGTGGAGCGTTGCACACCATGGCAGTGTTATAAGCAGGCTGACTTGCTGAAGGATTTGGATAAGTGCAGAGGTTTGTCTCCTGATGCAGTTGAGGACCTGCGCCGTGCCACCAAGCAAACTGCTGCTGCCATTGGTCTCTCAATGGTGGCTGTGATGACTACAGAGAGGCATCTGTGGATCATCTGTGGTCCATCGGGAAGAAAGAAAAGGACTTTCTTCTCGATACTCCGCTTTCGTCTACTGGACTTTTTGGCACTTTCATTGAGGCGTTTGTGGATAAGTTCAGATAGGCAAAAGCGCAATCAGCTGCTTTCAGGAAGTTCATTCCTCAAAGCTCCAAATCCTCCTGTAGGGGGGTGATTTGTCTAGAGCTGAGGCTCATAGACAAGATCAAAAGTCTAGCGTCGCTTACCGTGCCCCTCTTTCAAGGAGTTGGCAGTGGAAAGCTAACGCTAACAAAGGGAATATGGATCTCAGGGACATCCTAGATAAGAGACATGGTGATCGCCTGCATCCCGAGGCTGGGACTCCTTGATCATTCTCTTCCCTTCCTCCCCTTTCCCCCATCTAGTAAGCCACTGCTTACATCAGGCTCTGACTCTGGACTAATGATGTCTTGTGTGTTCGCTCTGAGCGAATCATTTACTGATGGTCCGGATCTCCCTCATATGAGCTTATGGTCAATAACACAGTGACTTTGCTAGCCTACTGTGGGACTGACTCTGATTGGGGGCTTACTTGAATACAGCTGTCTGAGGCTAGATGTGTTCTTACTTGTAGTTGCGGTGAGCCCTTTCCTGGAAATGTAGAAATCTGAGGTCTGGGTAGTTTCAGTCGGTCCCCCTTCTGGTAGCTCCTTCCTAGGTACATAGCTATCTGAGGATAGCTATGTGCTAGCTCAGTGATTGCTCCCCTGCTCAGGGTTTTTAAGTAGCGGACTCCTTGAGCCCATGCCTAGACAGTGCTATCTCCCCCGCTAGGGTTGTAAGCAGATAGCCCACTCTCTGTGGTCTGGGCAGCTTTGCTAGAGGATGCAGCACGAGTTCTCTCGAAGAAAAACGTCTCGGATTATGCATGTAACCATGGTTCCCCATGATTATTTGGCCTGTCTGTTTACGTCTCCTTCAGATAACTAAGTTGGTGACGTATTTAGCAGGTGCCCTTTTATACTTTCCTGGCACCCGCCTATGACTTCACGGGCCATGTGGACCAATAGGATTGGCGTTATTTAACATGTGCTTCAGACACCAGGCTCCAATTCAATTATCACTCCGCTCCGGGTTCACTCCTCACTCCACTGTTTAGAAACACTGCTCCACCTTCGCTCCATGACGAAATTTGTCAGAACTTATATTAAACGAAGAAACAAATACACAATACTAGAAGAATAGTTTTAACGTGGTTTATTGGATAACTATAGTTACTTCTGTTGTGTTTGAAATATGCTTAAAGTGTACTGCTAAATGTACTGACAAGCATTTATGGTGAACTAAAATATGCTATAATGTAATTTCTGTTGAAAGTAGATTTAATATATTAGATTATTAACTGTAATATCTAGTAAAATTACAGTTAGATGTATAATTAAATGTTACATATGATTTAGTATGTTAGTCAACATCAAAATTGAGTATTCTTTATTAAAGCAAAAGATTATTGAAACATAATGCTTTAAAATGTTTTTTATAGTAAAATATTTTATAATTATTACAAAGTGCACTTTTAAAAATTTACTTAAGTGTGTTAAGAAACATAGTCATGAAATTGTACTTAAAAGTGAAAGTACACTTGCCTGGACTTTTATTTCAATTATATTATATTATTTGCTAGTAATTTTTTTTAATATATAATTTTAAGTGCACATTCGACAATTAACTCTCACAAGGTAGAGCATGGTGGACCCATTGGTTCATTATACTAGCCTGGCAACCACCCACAACATGCTAGCACCGTGCCAAGAAGTTTTACATGAGCAATTACTAGGGATGCAACAATGCACCCTGAATCATACTCGAGCTGGTTGAAAATCGATAAAAATATGCGACTTGTCGTTTGAGATGTTAAACTAATCGCCGTACATTTGGGGGTGGGAGTTTATATCAATGTATCTCTGATGGGAACTGACTTGTCTTCAGAAAAGTTTAGATGGTATTTTCTTTTCTAGACTGGTGTCCAAGGGAACACTGTACTGCTGCTGTTCCATGAGCGCCACCTGCTGTCAGAGAGTGAATTTGCATCTCATGCAGCCCGTCTGCTGTTTTTGTTTCATTCAGATATGTTTTATGTATTATAGTTTAACAAAGCTGGAATTAGAGCATTCTGTTTTTGCTTAAATTTCAAAATTATACAATCTCATTTAAATCAAGAACTGCTCATGCTGCATGTATGCAGCATCTTTGTTTGGATTGTGAATAAAATGTAGTGGTTGCCTCTAATTTGAAATAGAAATAGCACGCCTTAGTTTGTTGTCAATTTCACAGAGAAATGTGCAGCATTTTGTCTGAAAAATAATAAAAGGACACCTTTTCATTTATAATTTGCTTTAAATCTCATTGTAAAAAAAAAAAAAAAAAAAATTGTATTGTGAAATCAGCATTGTGAATCGTTCCATCCCTAGCAATTGCCACTCATATTATTTTCAAAAAATATACAAATATAGTAATTCATGTTATAAACATGATATATTCCAATTACCACTTACATTTTTGTCGGAAAATATAATCATTCAGTCTGACAGACAGTCTGATTATTCATGTAATTCCACAACATTGCTAATAATCTACAAATTAGCTTGCAGGCTAAAAATAAAACCTCTCAGAAGTTAGTAAATATGCATAAGCATTTTACAACGATAGAGGAAGACATATCATCATCATCATGCATCCAAACATTCTCAGTTTAATTTGTCTCGACGCCATTCCTTCTGTTTTTGAGTCTATTTGGTCTGTTATATAATCGCTAATATTTTCTCTTCTCCTCTTCTACCAGGATGCTGCCGGCCCCTCTCATGACATACCAGTACCAGAGGAGCTTCATCAAAGCAGCCAGTGAGTTTCTCTCTATCTGTCTGATTGGACCGGTCTGGCCGTATTTCCCCTGATCTATTTTGACTATTTAAAACTATTTGACTATAGTTCGACCATTTGATAAAACACACTACAGAGTAGGCGTGCTCAAGCTAGTATGATCAGAAACAGGAAACCGGGGTGTAGAGGAAAGAAAATGGATTTACAGTGTGGCAGCTTTTGCCTGAGACGCCGAGGGATGTTGTTCCTCTTCCAGATCGTCTTTTGCATCTCATTTGTAACATAAACTTTGATTTTCACACTGCAAAAAATTTGATTAGAATTTTTTAAGCACAAACTTAGTTACATTTTATTAGATTTTTACTTAAAACAACTGTTTGCTAAAATTGTTAAATATATTTCATAAATTATTCAAACTAATTCATAAATAATTTGTCATAAATTATTTCACATTTTTTAACTAATGAAGAAAAAATTATTACAGATATATTAAATACAAAAATATACATTGTCTGAAAACAATGTTTAATGCAATTTTGCTGCTCAAGTAAATATATCTTGCGTTAAGGATGTTTGGATATTTTGTACGTGAAAACAAGAATGATTATTAAGATGCTTTTTTTTTTGCATTGTATCTCATGCTATCTTCATCTTATCTCGTTTTGCTTTCTACCATCGTTCCCTTTTTTGTCTCTATTTTTCTCTCTCTTTCCTTCTGTACTTTCTTTTCTTTTTTTTTTGCCAGTCCTTAAGGGTGATGTTAGGCCCTTGTCCTCATATGAACTTTTTTTTTTTCTTTCGGAGAGCTCCACCCCCCCCTTTCTGCCTTTCATTTTCTCTCTTTTTTCCACTCCTCCCCTCGTTCATTCCTGTCTATATGAGCCATTTATGTGATAAAGAGCAAGGTGCCATCTGGAGTTTGCCCATCAGCAGAGAGAGAGAGAGAGAGAGAGAGAGAGAGATGGGGATATGGGAATAAGGGCGTGAGAGACGATGTGAATGTGTGTGTAACTGGAGAAGAGAAAATCAAGAGAGACAAGAAAGTGTGAAAATGTGTGTGCATGGTCTACAGGTTCGGTTTCTGTTCAACACGATCAAATACATGACTGGTCTGGTTATGTCTTGCAGGGGTTTTTTGAATGGCTTGGATTAGCAGCAGATCATTTCTTCATCTATATTTTGTGTTTAAGATAGTAAGACTTGTTTTCAGACAATATATATATATATTCTTGTGTTGAAGTTTGTTCTTAAATACATTTATTTATTTAAATATATATATTTTTAGAATATATTAAATACTTATTCATTTATTATAATATATAATATATTACTAAATTAGTATTAAATGTTGTATTTGTTATATAATAATAATAACAATAATGTTATTATTATTATAGGATTGGATTTTTATTTTGGTTTAATTATTAATATTATTACATTTTTGTTTGTTAATAAGTGAAAATAAAATGAAAATAATAATAATAATAACATATTATTAACTATTTTATTCAGTAATAATGATAATAATACATATTTAATACCAAGTAATTAAATGTGTGTATTACTTTAGTTCATTACTATTTAATAAGCATCAATAACATATTTTATTAAATATATATATATATATATATATATATATATATATATATATATATATATATATATAATTATATGAATACATTTATAATAAAATGTTATACTATGCTATAAATAAAAAGCTGTGGCGCTCATCCAGGTGTTGTGTGTTCGAATTCGGGTTGTAGAATTTTACTTGAGAAGCAAAATGACTTTAAGTCTTGTTCTCTGAAAAGTGTATTAATTTTTTTACATTTTTGCTTAAAACAAGAGAAAAAAGATATCTGCCAATGGGGTAAGAAAAATAATCTTACTTCAAGGACAAATCAAGATGATTTTTCTTAACCCATTGGCAGATATATTTTCTTGTATTAAGCAAAAACTAACAAAATTCTGATAATTTTTCAGAAAACAAAAAATACTAAGTTAGAAAATCATTTTTTGCAGTGCAATTAATTAATGAATTACTTTTGATTTATTTGATTTATTTATTTAGTCCCTTATCATGTCTAAAACAACCTCTTTTATACCTCTCTTCTCTCACTGTACTCTTGTTACTGGGGATTATTAGGATATCATGGCAGCCAGAGAGATCACTCTAATATTTCAGTGACCTTTAAGAGCCGGTGTCTGGCGGATTAGCTTTGCTCTTAATGGACACTGTTGTAGCGGTCACATACACTAGGTGGCACTGTGCTTTTACAACAAGGCAGACACAAACACGTGAGCATTAATGTCATTTTAATTGGAATAGTGTGTCTGTGTGGGTCCAGACTGTGTCAGGAAGTGGCCTCACAGAATCAGGAACGGGATCTTTTGTTCAGTTTCACAACATCAGCAACAGATGCAATGTTTCAGACCTGAAACGTGTCAGTGAATGTTGAAATGTATGTAAAAACTTACACGGCCGAAGCCAGTGAGACTGGACTCCCATTCCTGCTGCGAATGCGCTTGAGTCAAACACAGCAGTAAAACGCCTACAGTTCATGCGGAACAAAAGGAAATGTGCTTGTTTTCCTTTGCAGCCACTTACTCTCTCGCTTCCTCTTTCCCTGTCTTCCTAGAACTGGACAATCCCGAGGCGAGGGTGGCAGAGATCCACTCCATAGTGCACCGTCTCCCGGAGAAGAACCGCCAGATGCTGGAGCTTCTCATGAAACACTTGGCTAAGTAAGTTTAGGTGTTGACGCCCCCTTTTTACTGTGTTACAAATCCAGCAAAGACCTAAGAGGATTTCCATTGTAAAAACCACAACCCTGCTGATGGTACAAAAGGCCTTAATGTCCCTTCATGTTTGCCCAGCTGAAAAGAGTGGCTTGTTTTCCTTCACCTGTGCTTTCCTCCGTCTCTTTCCCCAGCTCCATTTTCTTTTGTGCGAGTTTAATTTGACATCCTGACTGCCGAGCTCTGCAGAGCCGCTCCTCTGTGACGCTGGCAGCTCGAGGAGTATTTCGGAAGTTTACGGAGAAAGTCCACTCCAAAGTGAAAATGCTTTACACAAAGCAGCTTTCTGCAAAAGATCAGATTCATAATCCGAAAGAATTATAGGAAGTAGAAGTTTAATACCCACTTTGCTTGTCCTCAGGACAAGTTTGGAAATGATGTTGTAGTGTGGAATGAATAGTTTCATCGGACAGTAGCAGTGAAAAACAACAGCCGCTGCATAAGGTTAATTGGGACTCATTTAATATTGACGGTATGCTGATTAGAAGAAATAATTTCTGTAAAGGTTTTACCTTGGGTTCTGTTGACTCTGAATCATCATTTACAACAATTGTGTAAAAGTCATTAAATATCTGACCAGATGGCTGAAAGTTTGCAAGTTCAAAACCCTAAAAGAGTAATACCATTGAAGTCCACATGAAATGAACAAAATGGTATTTCCTGTGTTGACTTATTTCCTAATGAGACAGGAAGTTGAAGTGGGGCATATCAAATGCTTTGTCCTTTTTTAATTAGACAGTAGCTTTAGTTTAAAACCTGTTGTTCACTGTACAGCCTTGCTTGCTATTTATTTATTTATTGAGTATCATTTGATGTATCAGGCTTTTATGGCTCATGATATCAGAGAATTGGTTGCTGATATTTATATGCCCATAAAGTAAGATGAAATTCAAATAGCTTGTAATGTAATCAATTAGATATTTATAACAGTATAGAAGACTACTTACATCAAATGCATATAAATATCAGTTGCCTCTCTATATCTCCCAATAATATGTCCTAGTAAGATTATATTTAGATGCTTAGTTTTATGATCAAAGCTCTGTAGTTTTATTGTGGGGGGTAAAACATACAATGCAATGCAATACAATGATTGAGAAATGAACAAATAAACGTTCCTCAAAAGCCTGATGTATCATATTCAAAACGCGCATTTTAACATGAAATATAACGAAGAAGAACCATATATATATATATATATATAAAATACTAAAAGGCCTGAAAGTATAAACTGTAGTAGTTGTAGAAGTACAGCAGGTTTTTCAGCAAAGTTTTGATCATGTTGATTATTTAGAGGCATCAAGCGTAGTGTTAGTTCTGGCAGGTCACGCTCGCATCAGCTGACTCTCAGCTGATCCCCATCTACCTATGGGAATACGACACATATCTAAGTATTCATATATAGGGTCCCGCTGTAGTATCAGCCGTTTTCGCATTGCTCAATAGCTAATTACCCTCCTCCATCCCCAACTCCTCCTCTGTCAGTCAGGATTCAGCCTTCTGATTCTCCTTTGAATCAGACTAATTCTAAAATGTGTACATAACATTATTGAACTTTAACAATATCTTCAATACATTTATGTTGGTTCTGTTCTGTTTACCCTGGGGGGTTATTGATGCCCTCCCTGCTCTTATCCATGCTAGGCTGCATGGATGCGCAGGGAGTTCTTGCCCAGAACGGAACCATACCGCCAATCCAAACTGTATGCTAATTGTCAATCATCTTTGACGATCGTGGTCCTGACAGAACTTAGATATTTGTGTATCAAGTATGATACAGTAGGCTTTATAGGGTTAAGTGGTATTTTGGGTAAAAGCCAAGATAAACTGTCATCAATGGTCTTCTATGTCAGTTTGTGTGTGTGCGCGCGCATGTTTTTGTGACATATGAAGACACAAATTTGTATAAGGAGAAGGTAACTTATGAGGACATTACCCCATGTCCCCATTTTTCAAAATGCCTATAAGTTTTTTTTTGAGAAAGTAAAAATGCAGAAAGTTTCCTGTAAGGGGTAGGGTTGGTGTAGGGCAATAGCACATACAGTTTGTACAGTATAAAAACCATTAGGCCTATGGAATGTCCCCACAATTCACAAAAGCAAACCTATGTGTGTTTTAGGATTTCAATCATGGTAAATTTCCTAAATTAGATTTTTAAGAATGCATAATATTTTACAGCAAATTGATCAAAGAACATTTCCATTGTTTTTATTGCTTTTATTGATTAGTTATTGTAGCTCTATTTTTGTTATCAATAAAGCTAACTAATCAGAATACAATAAGAAATAAATGACTTCAGATATCTTACTCTCTCACCAGAGTGGCCAGTCACCACCTGCAGAATTTGATGACGGTTGCTAACCTCGGCGTAGTGTTCGGCCCCACACTCTTGAGGCCTCAGGAAGAGACTGTCGCTGCAATCATGGACATCAAGTTCCAGAACATTGTGGTAGAAATCCTAATCGAGAACCACGAACGGGTATGTTTATAAATGGAAACCAGCCGCTCATCACCATATTATACCAGGAAAATTGGTTAAGCGTTAAGAAAAAGAGCTTTGTTTCTGAACATTTGGTGATGATGTGCACAGCTAATGAGTGAAATGGCTCATTAGGTTATTTCATTTCTATTGGTCACTTCTTTTCTGACCGTAATCACCATAAAGGTGCATGAGCTGTGTTGCTGACACCTAGGTGTGAATGAAGGATGTAATTCCCCTTTCTAAGGGATTCACTCACTCCACATTTGCTGTAATGGGTAACTTCAAATCCAGCAGGGGTTTAAAGGGTAAAGCAGCTTAGAATAGTTGCCATGGCAACATGCAAATCAGCTCAAGGCTGATTTCTTAAGCTGAGCCCAGTTTCACATGACATATGGCCACTTCCTCCTGCATGAATGGGTAAAGTGGGTGGGTTTTACAATCAAGGCTGTCATTATGGCCTGTACAATTAACTTTCCCATGTCTCATTGCCATAAAGACATGGCACACTCATATGCTCCACTGTGAATGAGGTTAACCTGTAATGAATCTTTCTGCTTCAGCCTAAAAGCATTGTTGACTACCTATCCTATATATCTCAACAAATATACAGTTAAACATAAAACTGATCCTCAACAAGCGTTTAATTCACAAACACACAATAGGATCTTTGAATAAAGACTTATGACTTGTCACAAGAGAACGTTTTTTTTCTTCTTCAGAATTCTTAAAGTGATAATTCAGGTTTGTTTGTGTTTTTTTTTTGGCATTTTTACTCGCCCTCATGTTGTTCCAAACTTGTATGATCCATAAATGAGATATTATACATACAGTATTCAATAATAGAAACTGCTCTTTTTCCTTGTAAGCTTTTCTATTTTCTAAATGTAAGTTATTGATATTTTTGCAAATTGAAATATGTAACATGATTCGAGTAACATTTTCTTTAATAACCATCTAGTTAAAGAAAGTTCTATTCCGAGTGCATCACACATGAGTGCTCAACATGGTGTAAATGTAAAACTAATTTACTTGTTAAATATCTTTGCAGAAAAGATGCATGAAATGTGATGGCACATATTGTACAAATTTCATTGCGACTTTAAAGTATCATAAACGCAGTCCACTATAGCATGTTAGCATGTTTCCTAAATATCTGCAAACTAGTGCTGTCAAACGATTAATCGCGATTAATCGCATCCGAAATAAAAGTTTTTGTTTACATAATATATGTGTGTGTACTGTGTATATTTATTATGTATATATATATATAAATACACACACATACAGCATATATTTAGAAAATATTTGCATGAATTTACATGTATATATTTATATTCATAAAATTGATATTATATATAAATATATTTCATGTATAAACGTAACATATTTTTCTTAAATATATACATGCATGTGTGTGTATTTATATGTATACTTAATAAATATACACCGTACATACACAATATACTATGTAAACAAAAACTTTTATTTTGGATGTGATTAATCGCGATTAATCGTTTGACAGCACTACTGCAAACATATGATATTTGTATGCTTTAGTACAGTCAAAAAAATTACATACAGCATCTTTAAAGTGTTTTTTACAATATTTTAATAGGAGTAAATTCACAGTTAATTTACAATACTGTTTTTACAGTGCATATTTATACTTGCTGTGTTGCAGGAAACATGAGAACCAATTAATTTATCATTAATATTTAACATTAAAGTGACTGTGATTCGTGCTTGAATATTCAGACGTGCAAATGAGATTTAAGGGGTTTTGAAGGATGAGAGGATATTCTGTGTGATGTGAAATATGTATCTAATTTCAGTCTGTTTGTCACACATAGCTATCGTATGACTTCAGACTTGAAATAGAGTGTATATGAGTCATAGGGACCTTTCTTTTTGGTGTCTTTTGGAGCTTGACAGCCACTGGTAGCAGATTTATAGCTGTCATACAATATTTTTGTATGGAAAAGAACAGCTTTTTCCATGGAGGAAAAAGTCAGGTTTGGAATGACATGAAAGTGACCAACTGATGGTAGAAAATTATCATTTTATGACTAGACACATCTGCGGGGTCATATCCTCCCAGGATCAGTAGCAACATTTCAGTCTGTTCTATTTTTGTGGAGACACTCATCCCATCATTGTGGCACTCTGACATTTTCATGTTGATTTGAATTTCCTTTCGGCTCTGCAGATTTTCAAAGACATGCCAGTGTCTGGAGGAGGGCAGGGCAACTCCCAGCTCAACCTGCCCAGGCGGAGGAGTGCAGACAGCAAGGCCCCGTCCTGCAGCGAGAGACCCCTCACTCTTTTCCACACCCCCTCATTTTCAGAGAAAGACAAAGGTACACCAGCAAGTGCTTACTTTGGAACATCTAAAATGATGATAATTCTTTAAGACTAAAAATTATGCTAGTTTACTGTACATATCTAAACTCTGAAGGAGGAAATTCAGTTCCTGGTCTATAAACGGTCGTGCTACAAATACCAATGCAATTAATTATTTAAATAGTTTCAGGTTTCAAGTTGCCACACCAGACAGACCAGACACCGCCCTGTTTGCAATTACTTTTGCAATAAACATTTTGCTGCCAACCCCCTCTGGGCATGTGACAAGTAAACTAGTCCCCAGTATTAGATCCCATTCAGTTATTGTCTGAAATAACTAGCAATATAACTTGAATTACTTATTGAAATACAAACCATCATTCAAATAAATTCAAACCACTAGATCCCACCAAACCCTGTTTTAGCCACAGGCTGGAGTAATTACATTAGCATACTATTAACTCTTCATTAGGATAGCAACATTTCTGCTTTTCCATCAGCAGTGGAGAAGAGGAACAGTATGGTTGTAAACTCCAGTGCAGACTTGTCATCAGTAAATTGCAACAGCACACTCAGCTGGACTCGACTCGACAGCCTGCCCACTGGAGACGGAGACCACGATGGGCTTCAGCTGCCCAAGCAGAGTCGGCCAAATTCACTGTAAGTACTTTCTTTAAAGCTAAAGTGAGTTAAAATACTGTCTCCTGTTCTTTTTGTTGCCTGTTTATTTGAGCGTCACGGCCAGCCCAACACAACATTAGCCGAACCAATGCCATGAATTCGTTCAACCAACAGAAGGTAGGTGGAGTGTTCGGGAAGCTTAACTCTTTCCCCACCAAACACGGAATTTTCCGGGTTTCCGTGTTTTCACTGTTATATGCTCGGCGGTGCTATTACACATCTCCTGAATGAGTCCACAATCTCCCGATCAAAAACACAGACTAGGAAGACGCAGAAACGAGCAATCTCATATGTAAGCAGATGCATATGAAAAAGAATGAAATCATATGCATATGAAATCAACAATAAACAGCATATAAATGAAACTGCCTAATGTTACAGAGTGAAATGGCATCTCGGAAGTGGTAAAGGACTGTGAAACTTTGGTGGTGTTGATGGAAGCGATCTACTGCATCTAGTATGCTTTGATCATCGAACTGAATATGATCCAGATGTAGTCTTTGATAAAAATGCGATTTTCTCAGCTTTTTGATCAAAATGTTGCTTTTTTCATGAAATTTACCTACATTCAAGTGTTGATAAAACAAGAATGCTTGAAGCTAGAATAAATTTTTTTTTTTTTTAAAGTAGAGGCTGTTCTTTATTTTGATGTATTGCATGTTCAAATATTCATACAACAAAATATTTTTTTGTGAAAATGATCAAAAATGTTGGCGGTGGCTGACAACTTTTTCAAAAACGCAGGCGGGGAAAGAGTTAAAAGCCATAATTTTCAGTTATCAAACCAAGCAGCTTTCTGTTTCGTGTGACCAACTTAAACATGACTGAAACCTGAACTTTTTCCGCCCTCACTTGATACTCCAGATCACACAGATTCCTATTGAAATGACTGGGTTTTGCCGAACAATGGTACATGTGACCATACCTTTAGTCAGGCTTTCTTGCACCAAAAAGTAGTCATAATCTAGTTTTGCTTGACCATTTTTTTCTCCGACCTGTAATGCACATTAAAGACATAAATATATAAATGACCTCTGGCCAAATGTTGAATGTATAACAAGCACAGCTCAATATGTGCATGCACTTATTGCTTTGTTGTTGGTTCAATGTTTGAGCATGTCTACATACAGTAATAGATCAAACTTAATTGATCATCTTTTATTTCCAAAGAGAGCAAGAAAACTCCTGTTTTCCTTGATACATCACCTTCAAATATATACACACACTCTCTCCCAAGGCCTGCAATAATGCTTTTCCCCACTGCTGGTTTTCTAACAGGACACACTGTTTGCTGTACACATGTCACTGTCTCTGGTGGGCCATGGGTCTGTAATGGATTTTTAAACCACTATCGTGGGCCCATTTTGAGGGCTCTTAGCTGTGCACAGAATAGGGGTAGTTTTTTTTTCTGCTGTTTCACTATAGCATAAGCACAGACATAGCAAATGTTTGCTCCACTCTGAATGACAAGGACAAACATACAAAATGGCCACCCAGTCTCCATGTTCACAAGAATTCAGTGAAACACTCATTACTTTGCTGTTTTTGGAAACCTATTATAAATCTGAACGCAGGCAGTTTTCTCAGAAAATTGTACTTTGCTGACCGCACTAAGGTCAGTTTAAAGTTTTCAAAAAAGTTTGTATTTTATTAGTGGTGTTTGATAAGGCAAGCATTTCTATTAATATTGCTCATAATTTAGATGTGAAGAAAGCTCTAATTCTAAATATTACATTTTAGCACGTACTGCCACTTATCCTACACTGTATGTGCTACTGACATCTTAAATTCACGTGGCTTATTGGGGTGATGTTTGCCATTACTTTTCTATGCAATGGGACTTGTGAAAAGAAGCAAATGAAGGAGAGTTTTGAGCCATTTCTTCAGACCAGAATGTGATATAACCAGAAGCTAATATTTAGGGTCTAAGAACAATGTGATCAACATACATGCTACCTGTATAAGGTCCTCTTATCAAAGTACTGAAATGGGTGTTCCTCAGGGATCATTATTGGGACCACTTATTTTTACATTATACTGTATATTAATGTTTTACCTGAATTTAAAATGTATGCAGATGATACAGTTATTTATGCATCAGCAAAGACCTCAAATACAATTTTGTGTACACATTTTGTATAATTAGACCTTACATATCAAGTAAAACAGCCAAGTTATATATGTATGCACTGGATTTTTTTTCTTATCTCTCATAATGTGTCACTATTTGGAGTCAAGCTCCTCATTCTGTTATTATGCCAATAATATCTCTATATAAACAGGTAATATATAAACAAAGTCAATGATGTGGCATTGTTGGAAAATAACAAGAACAAAAGCTGTTTACTGTTAACTGTTTTATAAATTTCTCATGTTTTGAAAATCATTTAAAAAATGTAAGTGGTTTTACCCTTAAGGTTATTTGTCAATTAATAAGGAAACAAGAGAAAAGGGGACATACCAAGATGCAGAACAGCCTTGGGGCAGTCATGATTTTCACTGAAGGGAGTGCACTCACGGAATGCTTCACCAATACAGTTTAAAAGACAAACAAAATTAAAACAATTCTGTAAAGCTATTAAAATATCTTAAACAGAATCAATATTTTTCAATCATTATTTAGGGTTTACATAACTAGTTAATTAGCTATTGTTGATTTTTATTCCCACATATATTGTATTACCATGTTTTGATTTGATGCTAGATTTGTATTCATTTATTAACTTTTCCTGTTTTTAACATGTGTTTTGAATTTTAGATTGATTATTGGTTGTTGTATTTCTTAGGACAAGTGCTGTAAATTATCTGTTAACTAGAAGCATATAGAACATCAGCTGTAATGTGTAATTAATAATACATTAAATAAATAAAGTAGAGACATCATAGAGCAACCATGTACAGTGGCTTTAGCAGCCACTCAGAACACCCTAGTAATCGCATAACTATGCCTTTGCAAGAACACAATAACAGCACCTTTGCTACTAAATTATTAGTATCTGAAATTAATAATGACATCTTTATTACTATTTGATCATTTTGGAGATCTTTATGGTCTTGTATATAGTTTTAAGTTGTAGCTTTCGTTTCAGGGTCAAAAGGGCAGGTTTAATCAGGGACTGAACAACGTTTTGATACAATCTGCGTTTCATTTCATTACCTTTCATTGGCTACAGTCTTTGCATGCTTTGAGGTTTTATTATGGGAACGGAAATTATCAAACCCAGCACAATTTCCTGCCAACATATTTACTGTCGAGAGCCATGACTACTGAGGTCTTGATTTTAACCGGTGTTCCCCATGATTCTGTCCTGGGCCCTCTCCCAACCTCACCCTACCAGCAGGAGTTCACGCTCTCATGTTTCACGTGGAAAAGAATTGCGTTGTGTAAAAATTCCTGTGAAATACACTCACAATGATACCAAGATTATTGTGAAAAAAAAGCAAATCTCTTCTGGCCTCCAAACGTTTAAAAATACTGTCATAGAAATATTTCCCTCTCTGTACATCTTACACAAAGTCATTAATCAGTCTCAGGGCAAGACTTGACTTGGCTGAGTAGCAGGTAGTCTTGCAGTGTTGCCATGTCCGCTTATTATAAGCAACTTGGGCTTTTTTCCCCCATAAAGTCACTTATAAATATAAGAAGTTGCATTTTTGGGCTTATTTTTCAAGAATGCAGATACACACTGTATTCATAATTTAGTTTATTTCACCTTCCTCCTTTTTAATGTTTCATGCAGGTTTATAATTATGAAATTAATCAAATTCTCGATCTATTCTTGACCTGTATTTTGATGAGCCAAGTTGCTTATTTTGGGCTCTGCCCATCTGCCCATGTTGCTTGGTTTTCTGGTATTTGGCTGCCCATCTCTCTCTCTCTCTCTCTCTCTCTCTCTCTCTCTCTCTCTATTAACAATACTCTCTTTTTGCAAACCATGCAAATTGCACTGCCGAATCTGCATTGTTTAACAGAGCAAGCAACCATACTCCATGATTTCCCAAATTCAAAGGTTGCACAAGCCAGAAACACACACAAGAACATACATAATGAGAAACAAACAGAGAACCGAGTATCAAGTGTGACTGCATAATTAATAAGCATGTATAATTTAGATTTTATTGATCTAATGTGTGAATTCTGGGTATTTGGTTAAACAATGCTAATATTTTTATTTAGAGATATTTCACCATGGCCTAGTTTGAGTGGAAAATAAGAAAGCAAGCCAGCTGCTACAAGTGAGTGATAGCTTTGTATTTCTCTCACTGATAAGAAGGTTTATATGAGAATCAGTTATGTGGATAGCAGGAACCTTTTGACCGTGGAGGTAGGAGACTCAGTGCCTTTTCAAAAAAAGTATGCAAGACAGTAGAAACCCCCCCCAAAGAAATATCACAAAATATGAGATTAAATGGTGTGCAATACAACTCCTTTTTATAAAGTAACACTAACATTTCAGAGGGAGAAACTGCTTATGCCCTGGTGACAGCTATGTTAGGGGTGGACCTTCATACTTTTTTTCCCAAAAATTGTATTCCAAATTTTTTTGAAAAATAATTCCCATTCTATGAATTCATACAAAATCTCCATCTTTGTAAAATAGTTACTCTTTAAAGCGAGTTGTTTGTTGACAAAGGGCCCAAAAGAAGATGACTAATAAAAATAATGGACAAACCTATATATGGGGGTTATTTTATTTTATTTATGTTGTATGTGCAGCAGCAGTATTTCTTACTCACAGCAGCTTGTCCATGGATGTATTGGCAGTAGCAAGTCTCAGTTTCGCAGCAGCAGTGTAGCAGATCTATTCCACCAAGACCAAACACATTAATATTGACATGTATATTACCATGCTCAACTCTCTTGAGAGTTGTCATGACAGAACTGCATTTACATAATACAGAGAGGAACAGAATGAAGGTTAACTAAATGAACCTACATTGGTTTATTGGATTAAAATATTAAAAAGCACTACTGACTGCTGTGAAATGCAGAAACATTAAGCAAAATAAAATTCAGAAGTTTATTCAAATATGTCATGATAGCAGTTATATAGCATCTAAATATCTTCGTGGGTTAAGCAGAAAAATCCTGTTTTTGCAATCCGAGCAGTGCCTATTTGTTTTGTAGTCAGTGAAGGTTAATCCAGGTAAGCGTCCATGATATTATGAGATTAATAGTAAAAGCAGTGCTGTGTGTGTGTGTGTGTGTGTGTGTGTGTGTGTGGTTCAGGTATACCCTGTTATGGTGAGAAAATATGGTGAGGACATTTTTCGGTCCCCATGAGGAAACAAGCTTATAAATCAGATTTTTTATTTTTTTTTAATCTAAAATAGCAGAACGTTTTGTGTGAGGGGTAGGTTTAGGGTAAGGATATAGAAAATACAGTTTGTACAGTATAAAAGCCATTACGCCTATGGGATGTCCCCATACAGCATGGAAACCCTGTGTGTGTGTGTTCGGTGGTAAATCAGCTGTGAGGATCGGCGGCTCAAAGCCACAGGACTGAGATGAATGCTGTCATCTATATATAGACGTATATATTAAGTGTGGCGGTGCTGATCTACCCATCTCAAAGGCCTCAGAGGACCCAGCAGGCTGTAAATCAATGGAGACCTGGAGATTGATGAACTACTTGAGAAAACATGTGATCAGTTGAATTATGTTGGCTCTCTCAGTCTAGAAATTGAAAGTGGTGCCTTGACAAGAAATTAAAGTAGCTGAATGCAAAGGACAAGTGTATGCAAACATCTACACTCCTATGAAAGTCATAGGAAACTAAAATAATACATATTAAAAATACATATATTAAACTTATATATAATATATCTGTCCATCCATTCATTTTCCAAACTGTTTGTACTGATTAGGGTTGTGGGGATGCTGGAGGCTCTCCCAGCATCTCTGACCATAGTAGACAGGGAAACACCCAGTCCACTGCGGAAGTTCAAATAAATCGAATACATAAAATAAAATACCATTATAGCTTCTAGCAGCAATTATGGGACAAGCACACTGTTGAGGGGATTTGTTGGACCATTCACCAAAGTGAATTAAGAAAAAAGTCCAAAAGCTGTGATTAGATTTACTATTATTGGCAGTTAGATAACATAATCAGTAGGTGGCGCAGTGACCAATCGTTTTCTCAGATCAGATCAATTATAGGTTTGTGTCAATATGTAGAAGTGTTTCCGAGATAATGGCTGATTTCCTATTTGGCATCTTCATTAGTAAATTTGTGGGAATTATAGCAAAAATAAATGAATAAATAAAATTCTGTAAACCGAATCTGGAAAAGCCAGCGGCTGTAGTAATACAGACATGGAGCTTTAGGCAAAATTATTCCAAAGTTATAACCTTTTTTTTTTTGGTCCTTTTTTATGATGCTTTGGCCAGTAGGTGACACTGGCACTGAACATCTACTACAGTAATGCTTTGTGGCAATGATACCCAGCAAGTTGCGCCATAATAGTCTACTTCCTGATTGATGTCCTCAGAGCATATGTAATCGTGGCATGGGCCCAAGATGATCTGACCCAAAATTTGGATTGATGAAAGTTCTGAAAAAAAAGTAAATATGTTTTTGAAAGAAGACTTGCATTATTCAAGGCTTAACCTATTTTATCAAAAATACAGTAAAAGCACTGTGTCATGTTATTACAATAATAATAATAATATATATATTTTAAAATGTCATTTATATCTGTGAGGAAAAGCTGAATTGTAAGGACCCCTTATTACAGTCTTCAGTGCTATTCTAATAATTTATCATTTTAATAATTATAAATATTATTTTAATTACATTTTACATTTTAATAATTTAATTTGAAATCATTTGGTGCTTAAAAACATTTCTTGTTTTTCTTATTATAATCAATGTTGAAAACAGTGGTTTGCTTCTTAATTGTACTTATTTATTTATTTTGTGGAAACCACGATACACTACAATTCAAAGTTTGGGATAATGTATTATTTTCTTTCTTTCTTTCTTTTTAAATTAATCATTTTATTAAGCAATGACACGTTTAATTGATCAAAAGTGACTGCAGTTTCATAATGTTACAACATTTTTTTTTTTTAATTTCTATTCTTCAAAGATATTCGACACAAATATTAATCATGTCTTAATGATTCCAAACGATTGACCAGGTAGTGTGTACAATACAACAGATTACAAAAGTTACAAATCATAATATATCCCACAGATATTATACAAAATATAATATCTGCTATGACTTTGCCACAAAGAAATCAATATAAATAATTAATGGTTACTAAAAATGGATTCGTAGACATTTTGTGTCACATTTTGGGACGCTCTTGCCAACATAATGTAATTTTGCCAACATAATACAAACAAAGTTGAGTTATTTTATTCAGCAAATTCATTAGCTTTCATCCTCCTGCTGTAAGATATAGTTCCTGGCAAGTTTAATCGGCTTTACACAGTGATACACAAATATACAGCAATTTGCATCATAACTGTAAATAACATATTTTGGCATGGCTAGAACTCTTTTATTGACCAATGAGAACCGGAACTTTCCATTTTATAAACAGTAAATACAGAATGCAGCTTGACTTCGACTAAGTGAGAGTCCATTAACACTACTAATGTATGGACATTTAGATTACTATAGTTAACTCAGCACTTGAGCTCATGCTGTTCCCATGACAGCCCCACTATCTACTGTGAATAGATGCTCATCAGTTTAGTGATGAGTGTGTTTGTGTGTGATAGATGCTTGTCTACAAATTCCAGTGTCCAATAAGCCGCTTCATTTGCTTCTGTGCAAATTAAATATTGATTATGATGATGTCCACATTTATGCCTCGCTTAAGATTTGATTTTATTGTGGATAAACGATGTTGGTTTGAACTCACCCTCAAGCCATCCTAGATGCTCCACATGGCTCCGGGGGGTTAATAAAGGCCTTCTGAAGCAAATCAATGCGTTTGTGTAAGAAAAATATCCATATTTACAATTTTATAAACTGTAATCTCTAACTTGCGCCAACTGTTCTACACATGTCCACGAGAGAGTGGCTTTTTATGATGGATGGATGCACTTTATTGGACTTTATTATAAAGCTTGGAAGAGCCGGGACATTTTTTAATATACTGTAACTCTGATTGTCTTCGTCTGAAAGAAGAAAGGCATATACCTCTAGGATGGCTTGAGGGTGAGTACATTTTGGGGTAATTTTCATTTTTGGGTGAACTATCCCTTTAAGCTCAAAGGTGAAGTGTATCATTTCTGCGCCACTAATGTCAGCAAACAGAACTGTAGAAATAATGAAGGTTTTAGGTCATATGAATACAATCGGAGTTATATTAAAAAATGTCCTGGCTCTTCCAAGCTTTATAATGGCAGTGAATGGCTGTTGAGATTTTGAAGTCCAATAAAGTGCATCCATCCATCATAAAAAGTGCTCCACATGGCTCCGGGGGGTTAATAAAGGCCTTCTGAAGCAAATCAATGCGTTTGTGTAAGAAAAATATCCATATTTACAATTTTATAAACTGTAATCTCTAACTTCCGCCAACTGTTCTACACATGTCCACGAGAGAGTGGCTTTTTATGATGGATGGATGCACTTTATTGGACTTTATTATAAAGCTTGGAAGAGCCGGGACATTTTTTAATATAACTCTGATTGTCTTCATCTGAAAGAAGAAAGTCATATACCTCTAGGATGGCTTGAGGGTGAGTACATTTTGGGGTAATTTTCATTTTTGGGTGAACTATCCCTTTAAGCTCAAAGGTGAAGTGTATCATTTCTGCGCCACTAATGTCAGCAAACAGAACTGTAGAAATAATGAAGGTTTTAGGTCATATGTGAAAATGATTGTAAACCTGAAATACTTGCATGACCGTGCATGGAGAAACAACTCTTTGTTTTAAAATAACACGGTACAGATTTTTATTTTCTTTTTTGTTTTTTTTTGCATATTTGTATATTCATGCATGTTAAAGGGTTAGTTCACCCAAAAATGAAAATTAGCCCATAAATTACTCACCCTCAAGTCATGCTAGGTGTATATGACTTTCTTCTTTCAGACGAATCCAGTCAGAGTTATATAAAAATTGTCTTTGATCTTTCAAGCTGTTTCATGGCACTCAGCAGGTGTTGCATGCATCAGTCCAAAACAAGTTAAATTAAAAGCGTCCATCCATTAAAAAAAAAAGTGTCTCACACGGCTCCGGGGGGTGAACAAAGGCCTCCTGTAGTCGATGCATTTTTGTAAGAAAAATATCCAAATTCAAAATGTAATAATCACTTTAATGTAGCTTGCGCTCACTGTTGTAAAGGGAAGCAGCTCCGGGAGGATGAAGTATGAGGTAGGCTTTGTGCATGCGCCGGTGAGTCTCGTGAAAACCAACGTTTATTAACAGGAGCAAAGGAAGCAAAGTTTCCTTACTTTAGCAAAGGAAAACCAGTCTCCTCTTGGCTTATATCGAAATCCTCCGACATTCTTCTTTACAAATCCTCGTTTTGTACTTCTAATTAGTGACCGTTGTTTTGTTTTGATCTCTCCGCTGCGTTTCCGTGTTCGTCACTTCTGAGCGGCGCATGCACAAAGCCTACCTCATACTTCATCTGCCCGGAACTGCTTCCAGTGTACAACAGTGAGTGCAAGCTACATTAAAGTGATTATGTAATTCACCATCCATTTATGGATGGGCGCTTTTTATTTAACTTCTTTTGGACTGATGCATGCGACACCCGCTGAGTGCCATTAAACAGCTTGAAAGATCAAAGACCATTTTTAATATAACTCCGACTGGATTCATCTGAAAGAAGAAAGTCATATACACCTAGGATGACTTGAGGGTGAGTGATTTATGGGCTAATTTTCATTTTTGGGTGAACTAACCCTTTAAGCTGAGATAGCAAAAAATATTTTAACATTGTTTCTATTATTTACAGTCAAAATCCAAAGGTTCGCAGCAGTATATCGACAAGGTAAGTTCATCTAGTTTTATAGTCAGCATTGAAGATTTCATGGACAATTTGGAGAGGGGTAAAAAAATAAAATGAAAAAAAGAGAAACCTTTTAAATTAGTCAACACAAACCATATCAGATTAAAGGGTTAGTTCACCCAAAAATGAAAATTAGGCTGTGTTTTACTCACCCCCGAGGCATCCTAGGTGTATATGACTTTCTTCTTTCAGACGAATCCAGTCGGAGTTATATAAAAAATTGTCTTTGATCTTTCAAGCTTGTTAATGCCACTCAGCGGGTGTTGCATTGCTTCTGTCCAAAAGAACTTAAATAAAAATCACCCCTCCATAAAAAAAAATGTCTCACACGGCCCCGGGGGGTGAACAAAGGCCTCCTGTAGCGAATCGATGCGTTTTTGTAAGAAAAATATCCATATTCAAAACATAATAATCACTTTAATGGGTTTTTATGGAAGGGCGCTTTTTATTTAACTTCTTTTGGACTGATGCATGCAACACCCGCTGAGTGCCACTAAACAGCTTGAAAGATCAAAGACAATTTTTTATATAACTCCGACTGGATTCGTCTGAAAGAAGAAAGTCATATACACCTAGGATGCCTCGGGGGTGAGTAAAACACAGCCTAATTTTCATTTTTGGGTGAACTAAGCCTTTAATGTGAGATTACTCATGTTACATTAACACAAATGATCACTAATGTTTTTCCTCAGCATGTTTTACTCAGGAACAGTTCCACTAAATATGACAATTCAGTCATTTTTTACTCACTAAACCAGACTTTCTTTCTCCAGTGGAAGACAAAAAGAGATGCTTTGGCAAATATTCACACTGCTACAGTATTTCACATGCAGTGACGAAGGGCTGTCGTTTCATTCGTCAAAACATCTCCTTTTGTGCTCACACAGGACATGAAAGACATGAGTTGCATAAATTATGACAGAATGGTCATTTTTGGCTGAACTTTTCCTGTAAGCATGAAACTCTCGAGCATGTTTAACTACGTTTATGTCTTATTTCTTTAAACCGATGATGCAACTTCCTTTTAAAGTCTCTTGTGAAAGTTCTAACTCAGCAGCTGCCGTAACATAAATGTTGGCGCTGGGATCACAGTGTGTGTGTGTGTGTGTGTGTGTGTGTGTGTGTCACAGCCCGGCTTCACCCAGTCCCACCTCACCACGCTCCCCCTCGTGGCCGATGTTCTCTGCCCCCTCCAGCCCCTCCAGCGAATCCTCCCCCGTCAGGTGTGTGTCCTGCTCTGGCCTGCTTAGGCGGCTATCTATAGCAGTGCAGTATTCTAATCGTTCGGTGTTAATCTTCCGCTTTGCACGTTCATGCCTTCCCTCTTCACATCTGAGCATATACATCAACTAATGTCATCACTGGGGACATGTTTGATGCATTGTGGGTAATAATATACTGTGTCATTTCTGTTGTTGCATATACTGTATGTATGACGATGTATTTCATGAAGATGTTTAATGATCAGTATAAGTGAATGTACACTAATCATATTTTGGTTGCACTTTATTTTATAGTAAGTGTACATACAGTGTACTTACCTAAGACAGCACTGGGTAATAAGGTAACTGCGTGGGTTAAGGTTAGGTTTAGGCGTAGGTTCAGGGTTAGTACCTAGTCATATGTGCCATCGATATTTTAGAGGCTGATATTAGAGTTGTTTTTTTATATATATCAGTTGTTATTGTATATTTAATTAAGAATGCTTATAGCCACTATTTTTACAGTTAGATTACTTTTTTCTGTCATCTAGTGCACGCATTTAATCTTTAAAAACACTAATAATGCAATAATATCCATCCATTAACAATACCCATTTTTTTCATACTGTACATGGTACATTTGTGTTTCATAATTCACTTTGCATTTAAAATTTAAAATGGTTGTTTTATTTAGTGCTTTATTTTATTGTATGATTTTACTTTATTTTATGCATTTATTTATTCATTTTTATTTTATTTATTTATTTTTGCCCGGACAAAACAGTATTACAAAATAATATTAGCCAGTATTTTTATATGGGAGCATCCCTATTATATAATGATTAACACATTCATGTACCATAGTATTTACATGGTAACACGAGGTATTTCAAAGACAGACATTAAATAAATAAATACATATACACATACATACATGCATAAAATGACCATGGCATCATTTTCAACAAGCCACGGTGATATAATGGCACTTTTGAGATGTTTTATTTACTGATGTCAGAGCACTGAACATTTGAACTCATACATTTTTTTCATGTTTTTAATGACAGGTGATTGATGTGATTGATTTTTATTATTTTTTTAAGTCAATATCTTTGAATTATCTTCATGTGGGTATTTTTCTGATCAGAAATGGATTGCAAATAAATTAATTCATCTGCAAATCATGAACTTAATTCAAAGATTTATAAGATTAATATATATTTGTATCTTCTCCAGTCCTCCGCCACGAAAGGCACGTGCACGATACGCCTGCAAAGCTGAACATGACTCTGAGCTGTCCTTTATCGCAGGCACCATATTCGAGAATGGTAAGTTCCCAACAGCGGGGTCTCCATTTTTAGCCCTCAGTGTACTGGGTATATCTGGTTAGTTAAGCAGGTTTGAGTCTTGAGAGTCGGCATAAGAGCAGCAAACTGAGATCTCTGCTTTGTTCCACCTTTTGCCCTTTAACAGGTTATCAGAGCTCCAAGCTGCCGCAGTTTGACACTTGACACCGCTTAGCAGTAGATCAGATTATTGTTTAATGAAACCTCAGGCGTGTTCACCGGGTCACTCTGTTGCACTATACAAAATATACTTGCATCCCCGACATTAAGCGGTCATTCTTTAAAACAGTGATTACTCATATATCCCCTATAGATTTATAGAGCTGACATTTCCATACAACATCAACACTTCTCAAAAGTGCATCTGTAATACAGTCCTTGACAAAAAAGATAGCAATTCGACTATGTATTAAAATTGTTTTGTTGTAAACTGTGTGTATATCAAAGAGAATCTGCGTAATTATATTTGAGTTTCAGTTTCATTTAAAAATGATTAATGATTAAACAAACAATATTTTCTAGACATTTCAGTATACTTCTGAATTTATACAACCTACGTGTAATGGCTCACAAACTCCCTTCGCAAGGCTTCCTGTGAAACGAATAGAAAATGCGACATCTCACAAACCTAGCGAGGAGTTTGTCTCTTAAAATATACTCAAGTGCAAAAAAATAACAATTAGAAGGAATATTATTTAAATGAACATTCTGTCATTATTTACTCACCTGTGTTCCAAACCCATGTGCTTTTTTTTTTGTTTTTATCTCGTGGAACACAAAAAAAAACACATTGGGAAGAATCTTCGCACAGCACTTTTCCATACAACATAGTTCATAGTGACAGAAAAATCACTACATATATAGGTTTGGAACAACATGATGGAAACAATTTTCATTTTTGGATGAATTATTCCTTCCTATGCAAAAACCCTGAAGCGCAAACACATGCAACAAATGTTCCTTTTGTTCTGATGTTACCACACCCAAAAAAATTAAAAAAAGAGTACGTCTGTGGCTTGGCACCACAGGGATGCATCAAAGACCAAGACAAGAAAAGTGGGTCAAAACCTGTGGGCCTCATATGGGTTACCAGATTTAGAATATGCAGAGAGCATTCCAAACACATTTAAATGAAAAATGGCTTTCAAGATAAAAAGAATGAAGTCTGAGATGTTGGCGGATGTGCAACTTCGAACAAGCACAAACATTCACCGAATGACACGAACACACAGCAGTCGACAGGAGGGGAATGCTGGGATATGCTACTCTGGATATGACCAGAATGGATGGAAATCGGACAAATTAAACCTGAACTCATTCACCGATTTCATGACTTCTCATCACCTCGCTCTGGTTCTCAGCAGCTCACTAAGGGGGAACTTTCAGTGAATAATGACTTTGATTTAGGTTTGCTCATCGCACCATGCTATTGTCTGAATTCATAAGACTTGGAAAACGGAGAATGAGTCATAGATGAGCCACTTTTACAAGACTTCCATGTCGTCTTTGAAGCTTGAAAGCTTCAGCCTCCATTCGTTGCAACTAATTGGAAAATAGCAACCAGGAAATTATTCAGAATTTCTCATTTAGTGTTCCACGGTGTAAAGAAAGTCACAGGTTTGAAATAACATGAGGGTGAATTAAACATTGGAAAAACTTGGGGAAAGATTTTTTGGGGTGACCTATCCCTACAAATGACATTTCAGTGGAACCTATTCAAAGAAACAACTCGGTATTTAATGTCAGTCATGGAACAGATATTGATTTGAATTGAATTATCTTGTGGCATTTTCATGGTGCTCCTGGCAAAATTGTTTTACGATTTGGAGATTCGATGAGACTTAAAAAACAGCATAATATGGGCTTATGTTTCATGGGCTGCTTCAAAATCTGGAGCACCTCTGGAGAGCGTTGAGCTGCCACCTCCAGGGAACCACCGCGGCAGGTTTAGACACGGGCAGAGACGGACGTGATGAATGTGAATCATCGACATACATTCTGTATGCCAAGTCATTGCGTTAGCCTGAGAAATGTTCGAAATACATTAAGCGGTCATTCTTTAAAACAGTGATTACTCATATATCCCCTATAGATTTATAGAGCTGACATTTCCATACAACATCAACACTTCTCAAAAGTGCATCTGTAATACAGTCCTTGACAAAAAAGATAGCAATTCGACTCTATGTATTAAAATTGTTTTGTTGTAAACTGTGTGTATATCAAAGAGAATCTGCGTAATTATATTTGAGTTTCAGTTTCATTTAAAAATGATTAATGATTAAACAAACAATATTTTCTAGACATTTCAGTATACTTCTGAATTTATACAACCTACGTGTAATGGCTCACAAACTCCCTTCGCAAGGCTTCCTGTGAAACGAATAGAAAATGCGACATCTCACAAACCTAGCGAGGAGTTTGTCTCTTAAAATATACTCAAGTGCAAAAAAATAACAATTAGAAGGAATATTATTTAAATGAACATTCTGTCATTATTTACTCACCTGTGTTCCAAACCCATGTGCTTTTTTTTTTGTTTTTATCTCGTGGAACACAAAAAAAACACATTGTGAAGAATCTTCGCACAGCACTTTTCCATACAACATAGTTCATAGTGACAGAAAAATCAGTACATATATAGGTTTGGAACAACATGATGGAAACAATTTTCATTTTTGGATGAATTATTCCTTCCTATGCAAAAACCCTGAAGCGCAAACACATGCAACAAATGTTCCTTTTGTTCTGATGTTACCACACCCAAAAAAATAAAAAAAAGAGTACGTCTGTGGCTTGGCACCACAGGGATGCATCAAAGACCGAGACAAGAAAAGTGGGTCAAAACCTGTGGGCCTCATATGGGTTACCAGATTTAGAATATGCAGAGAGCATTCCAAACACATTTAAATGAAAAATGGCTTTCAAGATAAAAAGAATGAAGTCTGAGATGTTGGCGGATGTGCAACTTCGAACAAGCACAAACATTCACCGAATGACACGAACACACAGCAGTCGACAGGAGGGGAATGCTGGGATATGCTACTCTGGATATGACCAGAATGGATGGAAATCGGACAAATTATTTTTTAGTATTTTTTTAAAAAAATAAGGTTCAAAAGAACAGATTTTTTTGTAGCAATTTTTTTATCGATTTTTTGCTAAAAAAAAAAAAAGTAAAAGAAAAAAAAAAAAAAAAAAAGGAGAACATATCACTAAAAACCTAACTTCTCAAAGTCATATTCCGTCTGCTCCAAGTACACGACTTTGTCCTGTTTCCTGCTCCATGAACATTTCTGAAGAGCGCACTTCACCTTTTTCCTCTGAGAAGCAAGCAAAAGCGACTGTATTCCTCAGTTCATTCAGGATGTTTGGGGGGAAACGGGCAGGCTGGACTAGCGCTGGTAAGAAAAGGGTGGGGTTAAGGCATTTCTATGATCTTAAGGCTGTCATTTCTGATGGAACAGAAGAGGCTTGACACTCCCGTCTTTAAATTTTGGTAGCTGATGGCTGATGATCTCCGCCAGCATCTCAGGAAACTCCACGCTCAGAGATTTATTCACAAATGTGTAGAAACAGAAGTTGAGAAGCCCCTCCACCATCTGTGGACAAAAGTAGCATTTCAATAGAGCTTTTACAAACTGCATGATGCCTACAATGCAACCTAATGCGTGTACATTCACAAGTAGTGATCGAACCGTATATTACCATAGCCGATATATCGGCAAATATTTGCCATTTTTAAATATCGACATTGGTCGACACATTTAGTATTTTTTTTTAGCCGTTAAATAACTTAATAAAAAAGCGGGACTTTTATTTTGACAGCGCTGAGAACCCAGCACACATTCTTCATCTTCATTAGTTTACGGTCTTTGTTTAACAGTTCTGCCTAATAAAAAGGCAAAACGCTACAATTATTAGTTTTTTTTAAATGTCCTGACAGCATTCAAAAAATGCATTTATGTCTTTTAAGCATGTCTTAGAATGCCTATTAAATATTTAATTTTTTATTCATGTTTTTAACAATACCACAAACAAATTGAACTGCGTTATTTATAAATGTATATAAATTTGGTTGTGTTATTTAATATCTTTAAATAGATTATTTGCCATTTTTAAATATCGACATTGGTCGACACATTTAGTATTTTTTTTTAGCCGTTAAATAACTTAATAAAAAAGCGGGACTTTTATTTTGACAGCGCTGAGAACCCAGCACACATTCTTCATCTTCATTAGTTTACGGTCTTTGTTTAACAGTTCTGCCTAATAAAAAGGCAAAACGCTACAATTATTAGTTTTTTTTAATGTCCTGACAGCATTCAAAAAATGCATTTATGTCTTTTAAGCATGTCTTAGAATGCCTATTAAATATTAAATTTTTTATTCATGTTTTTAACAATACCACAAACAAATTGAACTGCGTTATTTATAAATGTATATAAATTTGGTTGTGTTATTTAATATCTTTAAATAGATATCATATATATTGGCTTTATACTGTTCATCGAAGATACTGTCACCTGCCAAAAAAAACTTAACAGTATTCAAGGTATAAGGATTTTTATTTTTTATTTTTTTTTTTAAACATGGTATAAATGATTTTCAAAACCAACAAATACAACAATTACATTTGTAAGAAGTCAAAGTTTTCAGTTTTCTCTTTAAGGTCAACTATGGCAGAGCAACTGTTTGAAGAGAATCCGATGTAAATTTATGTGTTTTGTTTTTAATTTATTTAAATTTAAGAACGTCAAAAATATTTGAGTAATTCTATTGGTAGATTACTTACAAATTGTAGTCCATTACGTATTACAAATTACTTAACGGAAAATGTGACCAACAAATACAACAATTACATTTGTAAGAAGTCAAAGTTTTCAGTTTTCTCTTTAAGGTCAACTATGGCAGAGAAACTGTTTGAAGAGAATCCGATGTAAATTTATGTGTTTTTTTTTTATTTATTTAAATTTAAGAACGTCAAAAATATTTGAGTAATTCTATTGGTAGATTACTTACAAATTGTAGTCCATTACGTATTACAAATTACTTAACGGAAAATGTGGTTAGTAACATAATCTGTCGGATTACACATACTAGGTCAAGTATTCAGAGTACTTTTGGATTACTTTTAGATTACTTTTGACCGAACTAAATATCTTCAATTCTTTGTAATCGACAAACAAGAGCATTAAACATTACACTACACCGAGGTTTCTCAAACTGGGGTTTGTGAGGGAATGAAAAACTAATAATTTATTAAATCATCAAATGTCAAATTGAACTAAATGTGTGGCCTTTCCATTTTCTGTGTAATAATAGTCACCTGACTAGTAGCTGGTGTATGCAGTTCCATACAACTGGAAGACTTTCCAAATGTATATAAACAGAAGAATTTTTTCAGAAAGGAAAATTTAAGAGAAAATAGAAGAATTAAGGCGTTATGAAGAATTTACTGTCATTGTGTAAATAATATGTAATCATGTACTCTATAAAAAAGTAACTGTAATCCGATTACAAATACTTTAAAATGCAATATAATCAAAAGTACTTAATTTTTTGGAATCTGGTTACATAATCCAGATTACATGTAATGAGTTACTACGCAGCATTGTTTGTTACGGCAATGACGATGCACTTGAATGTATTCCTTATCGCGGTCAAATCCTGTTCCTGGAGCTCCAACCCTAATCAAACACATCTGAACCAGCGAATTAAGATCTTCAGGAACGCTTGATAATCACAGGCAGATGTGTTAGATCATGGTTGGAACTGAACTCTGCAGGAAGGTAGACCTCCAGGAACAGGACTGGGCACTCTTCCTTAACACAATGCACGATTTTACGTACTTGCATAAAGTATGTACGTACGTACGTTATTCTCTCTTGTAGATGCAATAAAACCATCTACCAGTAGCGTGTCTTGTTTGTGTTTGCTGATTGTAAGAGCTTACCTCCTGCATTGAGTCCAAAAGCTTAGTGAGCTGGTAGAACCTCTGCCAGTTCTGGCTGGAGTTCTCCTCGCGTTTAACAATGGCTTTGCCCAGCTCCTTGATGTACGACATGCGGATTTCATCAAACACAGCTTGGCTTTTAAGGCCGTCCTTTGGTACTGTGGAAACAGATGGGGTCAGAATGAGACGATTACTTTACATTATTGCCGTTTAATCAAGAAAATATTCCAAGGAGAAACTAATTCTGTATCTCATTAAAGAGTCGGAATGAAACAAAGGCCACATGCAAATATTAAAAAGGCTTTCACAGATCACCTGATGTCAGAATTGTTCTAATTAGAAGTTACTGACAAAAAAAAACGTCAATCTTCAAGCTTCATGAAAGGTCAGACTTGACTGTTGTCATCAAAATGCAAAAAGCAGTGGCTTCAACAGTCGTGTAGAACATCTGGACACATTTCTATTTGACATTTTACTCGCTGATGCGCTTTCTTCGGTCTTAAATGTTTTGCGAAAGCACATGGAGGTCAATTAAGTAATTTGCTGTCATTAACAAGACTGAGCAAATGGATATATTTTGCGTCTGTAAGCATCGTCATAGAAACAAGTAACCGATGAGTGCGAAAACCTGTAGATATTCAAGCTGACATTCTGTAATCACGGTAATTCCAACATGACGTGAAGATCTGCTTTGAGGATGTGAATCAACTCTGAAAACCAAAAAGCCTGTTTTTTTTAAAAAGCGCAGTGGATGGTTATGAGAGTGTTTGTGTGCATGTTCTCCACATTTTGCATTGGTTTTGCAGCATTCTCTGATCCATGAGCTCTGGTATGCCGAGGCAGCCCAGTTCCAAAAGTGAGAATAAATGCACAAAAACAACACAAAACACATCTTTCATTGGATTCAAGGCAAATAAAACAGGTTTATACACTCACAGACAAAAGTTTGAATGTTTTTGAAAGATGTATCCTATGTTTACCAAGACTGCAATCATTTTATTAAAAACAGAATAATGTTGTGAATTGTTATTACAATTTAAAAGACATGTTTTCAATTTATTTACATTTAAAATCCAATTTAAAGCTGAAGTTACTATTCAAGTCTTCAGTGTCACATGATCCTTCAAAAACCATTCTAATATGCTCAATTGGTGCTCAATTATTATGAGCTATTATAGTTATTCAATTATTAATAACAGCTCTCATTATTATCAATGCTAAAAACAGTTTTTGCTGCCTAAAATTTGTGAAAATCATAAATTTTTTTAATCAGAATTCTTTGATGAATAGAAAGTTCAGTGAACAGCATTTATTTGATATACTGTAAATATCACATTTTTTAATATTATAAATGTCTTTAGTGTCACTTTTGATCAATTTTAATGCACCCCTGGCTCAATAAAAGTATTGATTTCATTTTCTTACTTAAACCAAACTTTTGAATAATAGTGTATCTTGGTTTTCACAAAAATATGAAGCGGAAAAACAAATTTTCAGCATGTAAGAAATGTTTCTTGAGCACTACATCAGCATATTAGACTGATTTCTGAAGATCATGTGACACTGAAGACTGGAGGAATCAAAGGAATACATTGCATTTTAAAATAAAAAACAGCTCTTTTAAATTGCAATAATATTTCACAATGTTACTGTTTTTACATTATTTTTGATCAAATAAATGCAGCTGTTGTAAGCATACCAGAATTCTTTCAAAAACTTTTTACAAAATCTTAATTCATAATTTATTAATCTCAATTCATAATTTAGTTATTATTCTGGGATTTAAAGAAAATGATTAGTCAACCTGTTGAAACTCAATCACTATAGAGTTTATCCAAGGTGGATCATCAACAAGCATCATAATGAGTATCCCAAAATATGCCAATACTTTTGGGATAATTTAAAATCAGCAGCTCCAAAAAGTATTTGGACACTGAAGACCCATATTAAAATAAAGGAATGCATAAGTGTCCCTCAAGTTCACTCAGATGTCCAAGCAACATAACCCACTATGAACATGTTCCCCTAATGTCCACAAAGTGTCCAAATACATTATTTAGACACACTTTATTTTAAGGTCCAATTCTCGTTATTAACTAACTTTTGCCTCAATAAACTCCTAATTTGCTGCTTATTAATATTCATTATTAACAGTAGGGTAGTTGTTAAGTTTAGGTGTGGTGTAGGAATAAGGGATCTAAAATATGCTCATGCAGAATAAGGCATTAATATGTGTAGCCAGTATGGTAGTAATATGCATGCTAGATAATAGTGAGAATTGGTCCTTAAAATAAAGTGTTGCCCATTATTTAGAATTTTGAACAAATTAGTTATTTTTGGGAAATATTTGTGCCGTCTTCTTTAAAATAAATACCACTTGACGAATACTTTTTGAGGTCACTGTACATGTACACTTTCTGTATGCAACACACTTCTGAATTCTGATGAGTGCTGATACCTGTGCTGAGGAGGAGGAGCACTTTCATGCAGAGATACTCGTCATTGGACACCTGCAGCCTGACCAGCTCATTGGTGATCTTCAGCATCTGGCTACACTGGTCATTCATGTAGGGTAGTTTCATCCTCTCCCTTTAACACACACACACACACACACACACACACACACACACACACACACACAGAAATATTCACATTCTGCAAGAATTTCAAAGGCCAAACATCATGGCTGATATTAGAAACTTTAACATCTGACAAAATTATTGTTGACATGGACATAAAGCAGCATGCCCACGAAATGAAAAATTGTTTGCTGATTGCATGAGCAACGAATTGCAACTACTTAGTTCATTAAATCACAGCCTTTTGCAATTTTATAAAGCCACTTTGCCATTTCGTGTTTTCAATTTCAGTTTGTTTGACAGATGCTTTTTCTAAAGCAACGGTGTAAAACACAATGTCAAATGTCAGGTTTAATTGTATTTCTTGACGATGGAGGATATATTGACAGAAAAGAGTATGTGATGTGTCATGAGCAAACGGACAAAAGTCTGTAAGCATACTGTATACATAAAAAAAAATTATAGAGCATATACACATTTCCTAGTTATGCATTAAATGTACCAACACCCACAAGTGGTCATTTCTCACATAACACTGCATGCAATGGCAAATAACATGGAACATCTTCTGCAATTCATAAGACGGCAGAGAAGCTGCCCCTTTTCCTTCAGAAATAGTAAAAATGCATTTTGTCCATTGTTTGGTATTCTTAAGATATTTACATTTGTAACACTTAGAATATGAATGCATAATTTAATCGATTGTACAATATACAGTAGTACAATATATTTTTAAATATTATGCACAATTTTAAAAGTTGTTGGAGCTTATTTTAGTAATGCAAATTGTAAATTCACTTGCTTGAAATATTATATAAAAAAATTAATAAATATAAATACTGAATACTGAACTGAAATATATTACATTAAATGAAATATAATAATATATAATTATTAATTATTATAAATATAATTTTGTATTAAATGTTATATATAATGTATATAATACATTCACTTATATTATAGGTCTGGGGATTTTCCACCTTAAATTTAAAAAAAAAATGTTATACTGATACTTCTGATAATCAATGGGGGAAGATATTTGACATTAAGAGGTGTAGCCAAAAGCTTTAAGGAATTAAATTTGCAGCCAATTCAGATGTGACCCTGGAGCACAAAATCAGTCTTAAGTCGCTGGGGTATATTTGTAGCAATAGCCAAAAATACATTGTATGGGTCAAAATCGATTTTTCTTTTATGCCAAAAATCATTAGGATATTAAGTAAAGATCATGTTCCATGAAGATATTTTGTAAATGTCCTACTGTAAATATATCAAAACTTAATTTTTGATTAGTAATATGCATTGCTAAGAACCTCATTTGGACAACTTTAAAGACGATTTTCTCAATATTTCGATTTTTGTGCACCCTCAGATTCCAGATTTTCAAATAGTTTTATCTCGGCCAAATATTGGCCTATCCTAACAGCTTATTTGTTCCGGTTTCAGATGATGTATAAATCTCAATTTCGAAAAATTGACCCTTATGACTGGTTTTGTGGTCCAGGGTCACAAATGAGCATTTTATAATGTTATCATTAACATATATAACATTTATAACGTTAATTAACATTAACAATGTAAAATAAAAGACGATACATCAACATACCCACACTATTCAACCATTTTCCATTCTTTGAAACGAAGACTTTGGGTTTTGAATGAATGCCATATGACTGCCTTTAGTTTACGTGACATTTGACTATGACTAGACACGATCTTGAAAACCACATAATATATCACTGAAAGCCAAAGCATTCTAGTTGTGGGTAGTAAAGGTGGGCTCACTCATTTATGACGAGGTCTGGAGCGAAACACAACATGTCTCCGTTACACTGCTGGTAGGATCTCCAGCCCAAGCCGAAGGACATGAGGAAGAGCCAGGAGCACTGCAACAGCGTCATCTGGTCATCCAGGTGCAGGTTTCTGAAGCCTTAATGTGACAGAGACAATAACTCTTAAAAAACACCATCTCAAGAGTCCTACAAAAGCAACATAGTTCATAATATGAAGAATAATCTTCGCTGAACTAAGAATTTTTGAAGAACCATAGTTTTGGGCCCTGCCTTAAAATGTAAAATGGTTTTAATTACAGTTTGATTTTGAGATTTAGTATTATAACATTATATGATTGCTGTAGCTTCAGAACTCTCTGATGCAACTTCATAATGACATCTCTCTGTTTTGATTTCGACATGATTTTGATGTCACTAAAATCAAAACCAACCTTTGGCTCATGTATTTATTTATTTTATTTTTTGTTGAATAACCATAATCATCTGTCCTGGCATCAAAACCTTGCAGAGACACTGGGCTTTACTCACGAAACTGGACCAGAACAAATTTGTGTAAATCGTTCATGAAACCACTGTTACATAAAATGTCAGTTTCAATTAAATGAATTAGTCATTAGGACCAGATATATACCTTACATAAGGAAACAGAGCAAACACTTTAACATTTAACTTTCACATGCCTGTCATGTTTTCAAATCTCTGAAAGCAATTACTTGTGTTGTCAGAATGCTGGCTACAGTACAATGTTGTCTCTTTAAAGAGGACGTACAGCTCACAGGAATGAGTTTGCTCAAGCATGTGGTGCTTACGTAATCCTCTTCCACAAGTATTTTGCCCAGTAGGCCTATGACACACAACCAGAGCAGAGAAGAGAAAAAAAAGCTTGCAGCGATTAGAAAAGCACGTGCTTCTTTTCTCACGCCATTGGCTGGTGAGGTCCACAGTGTGTGTCCAAAGCTAGTAGCCCTTACATTTGAACAAAACAAAACACATGATGGTTTCGAAAAACTATCCCACTACAGATCTGTGCAGTCACAAGCAGGTGAGCAAACCAGCTCATTTCCTTTTCTCTGACAATTAATTCTGTTCAAATCTATGGAGTAGGGGTGGGCGATATGACCAAAATCTTATTTCATGGTATGATAAATTTTATTTCACGATAATAATATATCTCGATATAGATATTTTTATTCAAATAAATAAAAATAAAATAGATGAAAGAAATTAAGAAGACCAAAGCAGCAAACACAATAGAACAAAAATAAATTAACTTATTAAATAAACTTAAGTCTTTCCGCTACAGTGGGTTTATTTAACATGTAGTAAGAAATGCTACAAAAATGTAATAATCAAGTGTATAACTAAAACACTGCATGTGTTCATTGCATGAATCAAATATGAATTCAAAAGTGATTCAGACAAATACAGTGTGTGATTTTCTCTGTCTTTTGTTGTTTGAATAACATCAATGACACAGACAGCAGCAGGTAAATTAGGCTGCTGTCCCTTTAAGACCGACTGCACAGATCCAATTTACTGAAACGCATCCGGTTTTCACCCAACTGTTAACGTTTATTTAACACTTAACTGACTGTGTTTACATGAATACTTCACATGATGGGCATTTTGAGCGCTACACTCTCAGATAATCGAAAACGGGCATAGAGGTGGGACATAGAGGGGTGGAGCTGAGGTGACTGGTTGCTGAAACCACACCCACCTAGCTCGAGGGTAGTGAGAGCAGCGGCAACCCACCTGTCACTCAAGTGGCCACGCCCTTAATTATGCAGAACTTTAAAGCTTAACAATTTAAAAAAAAAAATTGAAATATAGACCAAAACAACTTTTTTTCTGCTGTAAAGTTGGGCATTTTAACATGGGAGGTCTATGGAAATGACTCCCTTTTGGAGCCAGTCTCTAGCGGCCAGTCGATGAATTGCAGTTTAAGTCACTTCCGTGTTGGTTTCAAGAGAGAGACCGGAAGGTTGCCACTTGGTGCGAGCGCTTCGGCTATGTGTCAGCCAGTGTGAGCACCACATTGAAATATTCACTGCATATTGCTATTTTACATCAAGCACGTCACACTCTGTATTTTCTCATTCATGCATGTTTCTTTGTCACTCTTAGGTAAATATAACTTTTAAGTAGTACTGTGCTATGCAGATATATTTGCATACCGGGAAATAAACAATATAGCAAAATCTCGGTAACACTTTACAATAAGGTTCATTAGTTAACTACTTTAGTTAACATAAACTAATAATGAACAATACCTTCTACAGCATTTATTAATCTTAGTTAATGTTAATTTCAACATTTACTAATGCATTATTAAAATCAAAAGTTGTGCTTGTTAACATTAGCCTAGTAACTGCACTGTGAACTAACATGAACTAACAAGCGAACGACTGTAGTTTCATTAACTAACATTAACAAAGATTAATAAATACTGTAATAAATGTACTGTTCATTGTTTGTTCAATGCATTAACTAATGGAACCTTATTGTAAAGTGTTACCAAAATCTCTAACAATACACACTTTATAACGTGGTAACGATACATACGGTCATATGGTCATGGAGGGATTTTTTCAATCCCCTGGCCAGACATGATGCCCGCAGATGCTCGTTAGATCTCTAGCATAACGGATTCCTTCTACAACTTTTCAGTCTCTCTCTGCTGACGAACTAGTGATTGGCACATTTGACCCTATAAGTACACATTTAAGATGCCTGCACATCTCCACAATGACATTCTGGCAACATGAAGTACCTTTTCAAGCGGAAGAAAAAGGGAATACAATAAGAGAAAACAAAACGAAACAAAACAAAAATAAAAATCAAATCAAATCAAAACACAAAAAACAAAAATCAAATCAAAACAAACAACAAAAGTCACCATTATTTATATAGCGTTTTATACCATACAGATCGTCTCAAAGCAGCTTTACAGGGATGAATTGGAAAATAATGATTAAAATAAAACAAAGGGTTGTGTAATGATTAACTGTATATCAGCTAATACTGAGGGCTCACCAGGAAGGGCTTTGGCCCACTTGACTGCAGAGATGACCTGACGGCCTCCCAGACGGTTAAGTGTGGTCATGAGGCGGGTGGAGGTGTCCGGGATGGTGCTGTCATAACCCGCGTAAATGATCTCAGGCTCAATGGCTTTGAGCAGGGACAGCATGGTGGGCACCAGCTGGGGCATGGCTTTGGGCACCAGTGAACACATGCGCTCTTCAGGCAGAGCTGGGGCCTGCTCACTTGAGGACGAATGACCCTGTAATCGCATCAGTTTCTTGTTTTTTCGAGCTAAAATAAAGGGGAGAAATGTGATTATTTAGAATTCAATGAATAGTAATTTAATCTGAATGTTGAAATCAAGACATAACGGTGAATAGTTACTTGATTCTTGCATGACTAAATCACCTTTATCTTTTGTTTCTTGATACAATCTTAATTAATTCTCATAGCTTCTTTTGCTGCACAGGTTTTGTAAACGAGTCGGTGACTAGGATGTCAAAGATGAATAGAAAGGAAATCTTTTGAAAATCTAGTTTAAAGCATATGTGCCAAGTCGTAAGATTAATGCTAGTTTCAACCGCTGTTGAAAAATGCTTGCATCTGCAAAAAAGCAAAATTGCAAGAGTTCAAACTTTCAAGTAGCATTTCCTGTACACAACAAGCAAAGTCAAATATATTAGTATAGCAATTTTCACAATTCACATTGCTTCAAAGCAGCTTTAATAGAAAGCTGTACTATCTTCATGCTTTAACATTGAGCAGTTTTAGGGAAGGGTGATATGACCAGGTTTGCTGATGATGTAGATGAGCCACTGTTTGATTTAGCTATTTTGTATTTATTCATTAAGTAGCATATACAGGTACATCAGTGCCACTTTTAGTGACTAGGACTGCATGAAATTACTGATAATTACAGAGAGCAGCAGAGAGAAGATTCGAAGGTATGTCGGTAACATGTTGAGAGTTATTAAAGTGCATGATTTTTATGAGCATGTGTTAAATGATGAATATGTGCAACGTCTGGGGCACATACATTGTGGTCGGATGTACCTAAGATACAGTTTGTTGTAAGTGAGTGGAAGCAGATCTCAAAAAGTATTTATGCAGATCCCTGACTCACCCGTGACAAATATTAATAATAATAATGAAGAAAAAGAAAACATCTACTACTCAACTATTCTCATGACAGTTACACCACCTGTACATATCGGACAACAAAAACATTATTTATGATTTAAATTCAGAACATGTTCATCAAAGAGAAGATGTATTTAAGTTATAGGTCATGAAATGAAGAATCAAGAATATACCATGTATAAGGTATATTCCCACACCTACTGATTTCTTAAAGTAATATCCCAGTGTCCTTTCTTGTGAGAATCTTTTGAATTTCAGCACAGACACTATATAAATGAAGCTTACAGATACATGTACGTGTAACGCATGTCTCGCAACAGCTACAATGAGTGGGGGAAGGGGACAGCATTATCTATTAGAAATCTAGAGCCAGATTTCAGAAAATAAGGATCGACTCACTGGAGCAAAATGGAGGTTACATCTACAGGAAATCAGTACACTAAAGTGACTACACAGACCACTGAGAAATCAGCGAAAAGGGAAGTATATTGTTCTGATTTTGTTTGAATAACTTGTTTTGGATAATATGTAATCAAAAATGGGATAAAAAGACTAAATGTAAATAATCAACAATAGATTTGATTATTTTTTTAAATCAACAGTGAGCACAGATCAAATACAGAATATCAAAGTTTAAAATCAGGTTCAGAGTTTCAATGCTAGTTTCTCAAATTCAAGTTAAATGTTCTAGTTTCAAAATCACTATCTAAAGTCCAAGCTCAGGACATTAATGATCATTAACGATCATCAGCAGTGAAAAGAGTTCAATCCACGGGACAAATAAATAAATAAACAATGTTTAATCCAAAGAGATCCAGGAAAATCTCAAAAATATATATATCAATCCCTGATTTCGATCCACACCTGGAAACAAAGCTAAATAAATGTATTTGGCCATCTGGTTGGACAGAACGGCATTACCTTTGAGTTTTTTTTTTATTTCTCTGGATCTCTTTGGATACTTACAGTATACATGTAAATATATATATATATACATACACACACACAGTCAAACCAAAATTTATTCTGACACCTCCAACATTTCACACATTAATCACAGTTTATTCTCTAAAGTTTAGAAAATGGTAATAAAATATGTGACCCTGCAGCACAAAAGCAGTGTTAAGTCGCTGGGGTATATTTGTAGCAATAGCCAAAAAAACATTGTATGGGTCAAAATTATATATTTTTCTTTTATGCTAAAAATCATTAGGATATTAAGTAAAGATCATGTTCCATGAAGATATTTTGTAAATTTCCTACTGTAAATATATCAAAACCTAATTTTTGATTAGTGATATGCATTGCTAAGAACTTCATTTGGACAACTTTAAAGGCAAAAAGGACTTTATCTTCTTGCCGGAGTTTAATGTTGTTTTGTTACTTGCTACCGGGTGTCTGTGAGAACAAAACACGGCGTAGAAAAGACTATAAATTGTTTTTTACGTGCACAGTAACTGAAATTTAAAACGGTTAAAAGAAAGGCTCAATAACTGTTGCACAGATGTAATACACTACGCATTAATTTAGCTTCCCTTTGTGCTTTGCAGTTTTTAACACATTGTAAGCGCTTCGTGCTCATAGACTGTCAACCCTCTATATTGCGAGTAAATCACTCGCATATGCGACTAAATTTTCACTCTGGGCGACTAAATGATGTCTAATATTAGCCAATGGCTAATAAATTCTCAGATTTTACTCGCCAGTGTGTAAGTTGGAGGCTGAGTATTTGATTAGCACAGATATATTTTCACTCACAGAACACACTGACTGAGCGCTTCAGAGTTTCACTCTCCGTCAAGCGATCTGTGATATTTTTCAGTTCATTTGAATGGATGCGCAGCGCACCTGTGTTTGTGTATTTGGCGTAACGTAAACTCTAGTGTGAAGCGCACGACTCGCCGACGCTTTCTCTCACACGAGCAAAGAGCGAGAGTCTTGCATAACATGCAGAATTGATGCGCTACATGTAAACGATATACTTTGTTGTATTTTGCTGTAAAAAAAACAAAAGTTCCTTTGGAATTCTTCAGCTTTTAAGAACTGCCGGGTTTTCCTGTAGTAGGCGGAACT